AATGAAACTTCGAAAATTAGTTTTGCAATACAAAAGAATCCTTCCTCTCTCTCTCTCTCTCTCTCTCTCTCTCTCTCTCTCTCATTCTCTTTTCTATTTTACTTTTTTTTTCTTTTTATTACTCTCTTCATTATTATTTTTTTTTCTTTTTTGCACCGTCTGGAAGAAAAAAGGCTTGAGGCTCTCTAGCGTTCGAGTCAGCCCTTTGTCCTAGCAGCTGGTGAACAGGTGTGTTGGCGAACCAAGCTAGTAGCCTGTGCCGTCAGCTGTTACGATTCTAAGTCGGATCACTAAGCCGTAAAGTGTGAACGACCGTTATTATTCGCTTAGTTACTGCAAACCGTGCGTTCTTTAAACACAAAATAAAAAAAATAAAAAGAACGAAAAAACCCAACGGAGGTTGAAAAAAAAAAATGGTTTTTTAAAATGGATCACGCGATAATAAAAACAAAAAAAGAAAAATAAAGAAAAAAGTGTCACCTCGAAATCAACCCCTAATTTTTATCTCCTTGGTAAACGCCATTATTATTATTATTATTATTATTAAACGCGATTATCATATTGTTTTATTCACTGTTTTTTTAATCTGAAGTATTTTTTTTTATTTTTTTTTTTTTTAATCCCATTGCTATTTAACTCTACTTCTTTTAATATTTTATTATTATTATTTTTATGTTCGCAAAGGTTGAATTCCGCAATTAATGTAATTATAATTAATACGGTTAGATAATCGTGAATAAATTAAACTCGTATGTAATCTTATTAACATTTTTTGTTCGATTTTCTTTTTCTTTTTTTTTATCTTGTAAAAGTAAGCCTTATTTATTGCATAGTAAATTATTTATTCGTTATTAATCCTTGAAAAAGAAGGAGGGGGTTTATTTTTTTCTTTTTCTTTTTCTTTTTCTTTTTCTTTTCATACATTTAATATTTCGAAAAATGAAAGATAAGATTGTACCGTTAAAATAGAGAAATATATTATCTTGAGTTTAAATGAAATGTCGATTAACATTTGATTACCGTGACGACGAGATTATTGAAGAGGGAAAGAAGAACATGGGGAAAATAGGAGGAGAAAGAGGAAGAGAAAGAGGAGAAGGAGAAAGAGAAGGAGAAGGAGAAAAGGGGGAGAGAATATGTTGCTACGTGCATTACGTGTCGTTTCAGTATCATTGAATGCAATTGACATCTGCATGTCGCTGCAGGGTGTTCGGGGTACCGGTTGGCAACTGGTTTTGCTGACTTGGTTACTGTAATTCAAACCTAACTCATCATGATACTTAAAATAAAGTGTTTGTACACGTGTATACTTTTATATATTATTTATTTTCCATTAAGAGAAACGAAAGATTTTTTGAAGAAGAATTTATTCCTCTTTTTCTCTTAATCGCATTTTCAAAATCTTAAATCTATCAAAGGATAACACAACTTTTTACGATCAAAAATAATTTAAAAAAAAAATAAAAATACCAATATAGTAATATAAAAGTGATGATAAATAATAAGGAATCAATGAAATCCGTTAGTTCGCGTAAAAATAAATTAATCATTTCGTAACGGGGTGGTGGTCTATATTCTAAAATTGGATAATAAATATGTATTATGATTTAACTTTATTTCACGTTGTTAACAAATTCTAATTGTCAAGTTGAAATGAAAAATAATGATATAAAAAAAAAAAGGAAAAGAAACTAGAGATGAACGTAGAGAAATGAGTTCAACCATCGTACGCGTTTATTCTTTCCCATTCATATGAGTTTCGATTGGTGATGGTAGTGGTTGGAAGGCGGTGAAGGGGGGAGAAAAAGGAGGAGGAGAAGGGTGATAGTTCGAGAGGGTTGGATGATGCCGTGGAAAAGGAATAAATTCATCTACCTCGCGTTCTTCCCGCCATTTTTTTGATCCCTCTTTTCTTCCTTCATGATAGAAAAAGAGTGAGTGAGTATGAGAGTGAGAGAGAGAGAGAGAGAGAGAGAGAGAGAGAAAGAGAGAGATAGGAATGTCTGCAATGCGCGCCGGATTTTTCCCGGGGCATTTTTGCCGGTCTACTTTGCAGAAGAAGTGCGAAAGAGAGAGAGGGGTGGAGAGTAGAACGACGGTCTGGAAAGGGTGGCTGTGTTGGAGGTTGTGGGGGTGAATTTGGGGGCTGTTCCCGTGTCGAGGTGGGGCAAAGGTGACCCCCGCGGATCAATACCGCCGTCGGTTGGCCACCTCTACCAAGTTCGATCTTCTCTCTCTCTCTCTCTCTCTATATNTATATATATATATATATATATATATATATATCTTTCTCTCTCTTTTTCTCTCTTTCACTAACACTCTCCTCTCGATAATTTCGAAATTATTGTTTAAACTTTCAAAACTATCCAAATTTTTGTCTTCTAATTGTTCCACAATACAATGAGATTAAAAATTTAGTAAAAAAACAGAGTTATTATGTAGTAGCGATTACATGTTATTTTTGAAATGTAATCTTTTACATTTAATTTTATTGGTTTTATTATTATTCTTGTTAATATTTAATTTTGAGATAACACAATTTATATTATTCGATTTATTATTTAAAATAGTATCGATTGCACACATCCGTTTAATGATTTTTATATTTTGTTGTTAGACCAATAATTATAGATCAATTGTCGATTTGATTTATCGTTTTAATAATATACAAGATTAATGCTATCTTTGATAAGGAAAAAAAAATGTGACCATTTAATCTAAACATTATTTACACATAAATCGTCAATTTATTTAATTAGAAAATTAATTTCATCTTGAAAGAGAATATATTCGATATACCGTATAAAAATATGTGTATATGAATTATCAATCAATTTGATTTATAAATTGCGTAATCGTAATTGAACTTTGCCAAGAAAGACAGAAATCGACGCAATAGAAAACTTTCCATCGATTGTTTTCCTTATTTTATTTTATTTGTTTTGTATCGAACTAACACGAAAATTTCCAAAAAGAAAAGAATAAATAATGCTCATTGAATATGTAAAGAACTGTCGTAGAACTATTGTATTTTATCGAAATATGATAATTGTATAATTCATACGAAAAAAAGTAAGGCAAAAATGAGACAAAGGGTTGCTTGATTCTATCCTTCTTTAACTTGATCGTCTTCTTTGACCACTAACACTTACACAGGAAATAAAAATCGAGGTTTCTCGACCGCATTTCCTGTTAAGAGTTCTAGTAAAACAATCGCGATGGTTTATTCATTCACCTCGGTGTTTGATGATTAATTAAATAAAACTTTTCGTAATTATTTCGAAGGTTATATATTCATTAATATAAATTTGTGTATATGTATGTATATATATGTATATGTATATGTATGTATGTATGTTTGTATTTGCGTGTTTTTTTTTTTTATATTATCGTTTGGAAGAAAACAAAATTATTAGACTAAACAAATAGTAGAATTGAAAATTAATGAAGTTTCTTTTATGTTTTCAACTTATAACCCAGACGGAACTTCCTTTCAAGAGTATAATTAACCCTTTTGCACTATATGAGGTCATTGCTGACGTGACTAGATTATTTTTCTTGAGAAACTCTTGAGTCACATTGAACTTAACGTCGTCATTTACTTAATAAAGCAAATCATTAAGTAACCGTTTTATTTTAACTATTGTTTTCAAAGTATCAAAGTTAGAGTCAAAAGTTTCTTAAATAGTGACTTTCAAAATTCTACTTTTCCAAGCTTCTTATATTTTGCATAGTTTATTTCAATTTTATAAAATCTCATCGAAATAACTGACGTACAAATTCGTTAGAAGAAATATTAAATTATTTTTATATTAACAAATTTGATAAAACCAATAAAAATCTAATCTAATTTTTAACCCTAAACTAATTGAAGTAATATAAGTCCGTTCAATAGAAATAATTGTCATTTCGTTGAAGTTGAAAAAACAGTTTTACAAAAGACAAACAAAATGAATAAATTTATGGAAAATGTTTGATATATCGGATATATCTCGATCAATAATGGGGAACGTGTGGAAATATATAATGTTCTTGAATTCTTGTCGAACCACAATAATATTCGCGAGAATATGAACGAACCAGGCAGATCCAGGATGTCAATGTCCGGTGTCCGTGAACGGAAGCTACCAACGGCAAACGGATACGTGTGCTAGGTCGATCAGGGTTAGTGTGAGAAAGAGAGAAAGAAAAAGAGAGAGAGACCAACGTGAAAAATTCACCACATGCGATCCAGTTACGTTTCGTAATATGATCTAAGAGTGAAAAAAAGGGATGAAAAAATATCGAACAAAGGAAAGAAGATACAAGGAATATTTTGTATCGATAAATATGTAAAAACATTTATTTAAAAATATCAATAATAATAAAGAAAGAAAAAACAATCCACAAGTTTTCGGACCACCCCTGGAGAGGTGTTGATTTTTGTTTTATTTTTTTTAGTAACTTATGTACATATCCAATTTCACCAAATATGTATATATATATATAAGCTAAGTACTTTTTAAACCCATTTCGCTAAGTACTTATTAGGACTTAAAATATTTTATTAATAATCTTTGTTTAAAGAAATTACCAAGTAAAAGTTAACACACAAAAATCCAAATATCAAATAATCCATAAAATTGATAATAAAAAGATTAAAGAAAGTTATTACGTTCATTGAACTCAAAAATGATTTCTATAAAAAATAATCTAAAACATTAAACTCACACATACAAAAAGAAAGCCATTCTAACAAAAAGTTTAAGTAATAGTTTCTTTGCAGAAACTTTCTGTTAAAAGTTAAACTAACGAATTAACTTAACATCGTCCATCGACCTCGACGATGATTCCTGGCACGAAAATTCATAGGGACACGCACAATAATATCCTAGTACATAATATACTTAGAAACACAAACATAATGCATATATAATATATGTACACATAGAGAAAGAAAAACAAAGAGAGAGAGAGAGAGAGAGAGACGAATTAACCGGGTGCTTCTGTTCGCATTGCAGGTACAAAGTGAATCGTTGCGTGAGCGGGGGCGGTAGCCGCGGAAACGGCGCGACTGGTGGTACCGGAGGAGGCGGAGGAGGAGGAGGAGGCGGCGGTGGTGGAGGAGGAGGCGGTGGNTATGTATTTTAATCGGATAAAATATTCTAGGTAAAAAAGAAAAAAAAAATTTATTTCGAAAGAGAGATTTTCGATGGAGGAGGTGGGGGAGGAGGAGGAGGAGCAGGAATCGACGGTGGCACGGTGCCTGCTGCACCACCGACCACCGGCCATCACCACCACTACCATCACCACCATCACCATCACCATCATCTCACCAGCACGACAACAACCACCACCACGACGACGACCACCACCACCACCGGCGGCACCAGGCACCACAGGCACAGGCTGCCGGCGGGCAAGCAGTGCACCGAGCACCGACACCACCCGCATCATCACCGGCATCACCCACACCATCGCTCCCATCATCGGGGCATGAACATGGGCCAAAAGATTTCAGGTTAGCCAACATTCGAGGGTTCTCTTTAACACACGGACCATACTTAAAACGACGATCTTCTTCCAATGAGATCTAATTTATGTTAAACCTCATATCCCCTTCACCCCACTTGTTCACAAGCACCTTAACATTTGTGGTGTTATTCATTTATCATTGGATACTTGGATTATTTTTGAGCTTAACGTTTTTACGATTTTTTTTCGTACGTTTCTTTCGAACTTTCGTTTATTTATTTAATCAAAATATTTTTTTCTATCGTTGTTTAGAAATTACTTTTAAGAAATTAGATTTGAAGATATCAATTCTTTTAACATAAGTTCTTGTTCTCGTAGCTGCGAGTTGGAGAACTCGCGAGGTCAAGGTCTACTATTTCAGAGTTTAACTACCTGTTCAGGTAGATCCTTGAACAGGTTTCTCGTCCGAGAGACCAATACCGTGTCGAGACCCTTTTCCAGAAGAAAGGGTTGGACTCTAGAAGAAGTTGATATTCCGATCCTATCCAATTGGAATTTTCTTTTTTCAACGATCGTTTTTTTCTTATCTCGATAAAGAAGTCAACTATTTTAAAGTTTAGCGAATTAAATCTTTTAAAGATAGAGATATAAGCGAGAAACGATAAAATTGATTGGAAAACATCAAGAAGGAGGAGAACCTTGATATTACCACGTTTGATGCGTTTATTTATTTTATTCGTATCCATTCTATCTAATTTTGTAAGAAAGATATGTGCCTATCTTGTATGTATCATCACTGTGTGAATTGATGAACGTGATGAAATATTACGTTAAGAGTATTTTCAAACATCCAAAAGTTCTGAGAATTCGCTAAGAAATCTAAGTTTGTAAATCTTTTCAAGTTATGGTCTTTAAATGTAATAACGTTTAATGATCGATATACCGCAAAACAAAAGAAAATTTATCCTAATTTTGAATCCTTTTCTTTCTATCCTCAAATTTACTACGATACTTCATCGCGTTAATCTGTGATCGTCGTCTCGACTTCAGGGCCCATGAAATTTACGATCGAGTATCGTATTGTACGTGGTCTGCCTGTGTGAAGCTTTGAAAAGGTACCGACGCCCTAAAAAAAGAAGGAAAGAAAGAAAGAAAGGAGAGACCCAGGGACGTGTTGAGAGAGAAAGAGAGAGACCCTGGGGGCTTTCTCGTCTCGTTTCTCTTTCTCTCTCTCTCTCTCTCTCTCTCTCTCTCTCTCTCTCTCTTTCTCTCTTTCTGTTTCGATAGTGGTGTATGGCCGTGAAAGGGCCAAGGACCTCTTTCTATTAGTGCCCGTTCGTTCTCTACCATCAGGGAGAGATCCTTTCAAATCCTCACGGTCCTTTCCAGAACCCTCATCGAGCCCGCTGAACACGGGAACAGCTGCCCGAGCAAATAAACTACAAACCAAGGATATGGATCGGTGTGTTCTGGAGAACCTACGGACCCTTACCAAAGAAACCTTCCAAAACTTTTTTACCCAAGCCCTATACACCGTCTCGCTAGAACCCAGCAATCCCCTCATCCCACCCCACCCCATTATTTTTCTTATTCTCTCTCTCTCTTTCTCTGTCTGTCTCATTTAACCGTTTTTTCTTTTTTCTTCTTTTCTTCCTTCTCTCTTGATAAATCTCTTTTTTTCTTTCTTTCTATATCTTTCTCTCTCTCTCTCTCTCTCTCTCTCTCTCTCTTTCTCTTTCTGTCTATTTTTTCGTTGGTATCATGATCGGGATGCTTTGCCGACAGGTATTCCCACTCGACACTGTCTGAATTCTTAATAAGAACCATGGAAAATTTCTAGTTGATAAGATTTTCATCTTTTTTCTTAAGGATTTCATTTCGAATGAATGAATTTTGATAGAATTGTTTTAGGTTCAGGTTAAAGAAGAAAAGTTATTACGGTCCTTAAGATTATCTGAAATCGACTTAATTTAAGGTTTGAAGATTAGAATTTACATAAAAGATATACATATAAAAGATGATTTGTTTCTACAATAACTTAGTCCCAATTAGAATAAAGGTTTTATCATTTTAAAAGATTATTAGATCTTCGTAAATTTTAATCTCTAATTAAAATGTCCAATTTAATTTAACAAATTGTCCAAATTATGCTCCGTTTTTAAAAAAATCCTACGATGCCGAGTACACAATGAAGATTCGTGCAATTTTTTTATTTTCGTTGATAATCAAAGAAGGGATTTGTAATGGGACAATTCTTTTTGATATATCCATTTCTTTTTGTTGTTGTTGGTATTTTAATCTCTTACTATGTTATTCTCTTGGGATATTTAGGCGGCGTGAAGAGCGTGACGCGCGAGAGCGGAGCTGGAACGGGCAACGGAATTGGTGTTGGTGGTGGCGGCGCAGTGGCGTACAAACCAGTTGTACCAAGAGAGTTGGCACAAGACTTGTCGAGGCCAGCTCGTCTCGATGTACTCCTCGATATGCCGCCCGCATCGCGGGAAATTCAAGTTAATCATAGCTGGAACGCCGACGATCGCAGTCTTAACATTTTCGTTAAGGTACATTTTTAATCCATTCACACTAACGCAAATTTTATATCACGTTATCTTTCATTTTTACAAAAGATTGGATTGACTAAGATAGTTCGTAACAAATTTATTAATATAATATAAATAATAAATAATTTTTATAAAAAATAATATCCTAAAAGAAAAAAAAAATTGTTTAAAAAGAAGATCTCTATTTCTTTCTTTTAATCTCAACAAACCGATCTCTCGTTGTATAACAAATCTCTTTTACGCTCTAATACATCAGGCAGATAAAATTGGTAAGAGTTAGAATCTCTAGGTTATAGAGTTCTATGAATCATCGAACATATTCAGAGATCTCTCGTTAAAGAAACGATCCCTGTGGACGATTGTTTTCAGGACGATGACAAGCTGACGTTCCATCGGCACCCCGTAGCACAGAGCACCGATTGCATACGAGGGAAGATTGGTTATACGAAGGGTATGCACGTGTGGGAGCTTTATTGGAGCACGAGGCAACGAGGTACACACGCTGTGGTCGGTGTTGCTACCGCAGACGCACCCCTTCATAGCGTCGGCTATCAGAGCCTCGTTGGTAACAACGATCTCAGTTGGGGATGGGATCTCGGTAGAAATAAACTCTATCATGACTCCAAGAACAATGTCGGTATTACTTATCCGGCTCTACTTAAACCAGACGAAACTTTCATTGTGCCTGATAAATTTCTGGGTAAGTATAATCCTTTATTTTTCATTTCATTTAATCTTTAGAATATTTTTTTGTTGGTAAATCATACGTTTTTCGTAATTTTCTCCTATTTTCATTTAAAAAAATTTTCTTAACTCGTTAAAATTTGTCATCTAACGATCTTGATTTTATTTATTATATAGGAGATAGATATTTATGTAAATTATTTTTTTATTTTACAGTCGTACTTGATATGGACGAGGGCACATTAGCATTCGTAGTAGATGGACAGTATCTTGGGACCGCGTTCAGAGGTCTCAAAGGAAGAAAATTGCATCCAATAGTGTCAGCTGTTTGGGGACACTGTGAGATTACGATGAAATATATCGGCGGTCTTGATCGTAAGTATTTTAATATCAAGTATTGTAAATCTCTAATGTACTCTATATATGTAAAACATGATGAGATATTATTAATCGACGATGTTAAATTTATTTTTATTAGCTGAGCCTTTACCTTTGATGGATCTTTGTCGAAGAGTTATCAGACAACGGATTAACAAGCATAGACTCGAGGAAAAGATAAACGAATTAAATCTGCCTCAAGCGATGAAGACTTATCTCCTTTACCGTGACAGGAGGTAACCACCGAGTGGTGCATTAAAAGAAGAAGCGATCATAAGTAAGGTCGCGAATGTCAGCATTTTGCGACATCGTTGCTACCTAGACGACGCACAGAAATGGGCTAATATAGTCTCTTGCTACTACTCTCGCACACGCCAAGGAACGCACTACCAACAGCAACTACAACTATTGCAACAACATCAACAACAACAACAACATCGGCAACAGCAACAGCAGCAGCAGCAGCAACAACAACAACAGAATTGTAATTTCTACTTGAATCAACAGCATCAGCAAAATGATAGTCATCCATCCGTGTCCCTGTTCTTGAAACGTTTGATGACTAGTAGACTGAACCGTTTGATACGACGGCAAAGCGTGGATGGTTCAAGAAGACGAATGTCCAGCGAAGGACTAGCCTTAGGGTACCAGGGCTCATGGTATCAACATTGTTCCTATGAAAACGGAACAACGTCATCGTTGTCGTCGTCGTCGTCGTCGTCGTCGTCGTCGTCGTCGTCATTGGAATCATTCTCAAATACTCCAGCATATTCGACCTCGTCTTCTTCTTCTTCCTCCTCACCGTCGTTAGATTCTTCCTACTCGTCGTCCTACTCATCGTCTTCGTTTAATTCTTCCACTTTCTCGTCACGATACGAATAATGACGATGATTGATGATGATAATGATAATGATGATGATGGTAGTAATAATGATGATGATAATAATAACGATAATGATAAACATAAAGAATGATTACGATATTGGTAACGATGAAGATAAATATGTGACGTTAATAATAATGATGATGATGATGATGATGATGATGATGATGATGATGATGATGATGATGATGATGATGATGATGATGGTGATGATGATGATGANTTAATAATAATGATGATGATGATGATGATGATGATGATGATGATGATGATGATGATGATGATGATGATGATGATGATGGTGATGATGATGATGATGCTGAATGATGATTTTGATGATGATTTTAATTGTAATGACATTTGGATTTAATTACACGACCTCTTTTATTAATTAATTATTACAAAGATATTTAATCAATTATTTAGGTGTAATATTGTTGTTTTTATGTTGTCGTGGTACGATTTTAATCGTTTGAACTTTATTGATTGTTATAATGGATTATTTAGGCAAATAAAAGAATCTACCCAACAAAAAACATAATAAACGTGCGCTCGCGCACCCTCGAAGGTATGGTTGAAATTGGAATGATTACCATTTTGCGATGGAATTTTTCATATGTAATCCGACATGTTATCTGTCTCTCTCTGCTATTGCACTCAACGACTGTGTTATGCGTTTTTATATATTTATAATAATAATAATAATAATAATAACAATATTATTATTATTATTATTATTATTATTATTATATTTTATCTTGTTTTTTTATTTTTTAATTTTTAGTTGGCTTTTTTAGTTATGACTTGTTTGTGAAATGTAAATTAGAAAAAATATTTCGTTATTGCTTTCTTATTTTTTTTTTTTTAACAAAATGTGAAGTTTAATTCAAATATAAGGAACATTTGAGAGATCGAAACGTTGAAGAACGAATATGTAAGTATAGAGTTGAACATTTAGAAATAATAATAATCGTAATGATAATTAAAAGAAGATTGAGAAAGAAAAAAAGAAAGAACATATGATCGAGGAAACGTCGTAGACCACGCGTGGCCTTGGAATCAACTTAAAGAAATAAAACGCTTCGTTTTGTTAAAATATTTTGCAAGAAATAATTTTCAGTGATTATATATTGGTAATTAAACGGTGTAAGATTAATATTTATATGATCATAGAAAATAGAGAGAGAGAGAAAGAGAGAAAATAGTTCGTAATACGTCATCGGAATAAAATTGACGCATGGAAAAATACGTTTATAGTGTTTTAATATCTTCCAACTGCAAAAACATGATGTTTTTTCAACACTTTTTCTAAGCGTATTAGATCTAATTGAATTGTACTCTACTCGGGTGTGTATGTAAATTTTCTTAGAACAAATTGTTACACTAAATGGTAGAAATGATTTTAAACGAAAAGAAAAGAAGAATAACAAAGTAAAAGTGGTGTGAAGTTTTACGGAGTTGAATAAAAAAAGAAATCCCCGTGAAGGAAGGAGGCGGGGTTTCGATTCGAATAGCTTCGTTTAAAATGTAATTTTAAAAGACAACAGAAAATATAAAATATTACAAAGTTGATGAAACGGTATAATAATGATGTATATGAATACGAAGATCATCGAACTCTCTTCTACTAATTGTGGTGAATGAGAAATAAAAAGAAGAAGAATACGACGATAATGACGACGATGACGACGAAGACGACGAAGAAAGAGAAAAAAAAAAAGAAATAAATTAATTACCTCGACTTAAAAGTTTTAATCTCGAACGTAAATAAAAAAAAAAAAGAAATATTAGAAAATCTCTAATATTTTAAACCTAATGAAAATCTTAGGAGAATAAGATATAATGAAGTGTGAATTTTTGAAGAAAAAAAGAAAAAGAAAAAACAGCACAAAACTATGATTAAAACTGCCCAGAATTAGACTGTTAATAAAATAATTAATTAATTAATTAATTAATTACACGACGATGAAAGATTTAAAGATGACGCTTCAATCGATTAGGATGTTGATAATGAGGAATATATGAAAATAGGAAGAATTATTGAAGATCACAATGACGACGATGATGATAATGATTATTATGCTTATGATGATGATGACGATAATAATAATAATATAATATTAATAATAATAAATAACAATTATAATAATGATATTGATAACGATTCTAATACAGATAATGATGATACTGATAATCATGATTATGATTACGATGATGGAGACGATAATCTCCATAAAAAAAAAAACAAATAAATGAATAAATCATAAAAAGTAAAATTAAAAAAACGATTTAACGGGCGTGTAACTATTATACTATATTATTAGCATGACAACTTACGATTGGTCCTTAGTGATTCTCTTTACTCTTACGTTTGTCGCTTAGGTTTAAAAGAAAATTAATAAATAAAATAAAACATGAAAACACAAACAAACGAAAAACTATTAAAAATAGCCAATTTAAATGGTCGCGCTCTGTCGGTTTGTACATAGGACATAATATTAATTAATAATATTAATAATAATATTAATAATAATAATAATAATATTAATAATTGATAACTATATATGTATATATATATACATATATATATAAATGAAAAACATATATGTATATATATATATATATGTATATTATTTAATATAATATATATGTATATGTATATGTATATGTATCACGATAACGTCAGTTAATCGATAATGTCACTCCGATAAGGCGACGAATAAATAAGGAACAAAAATGTTTAAGAAAATAAAAATAATAATCGTCACATAAGTGACGAGCGCATCTAGAAATTGACAACAAAAATTAAAGCGAAATATAAATGAATGTAAGAAAGAAAGAAAGAAAGAGAAAAAAAGGGTTAAAGGAAAGAAGAACAGTTACAAAATAAAATATAATCGATTGCGAGTTATAATAATCATTTTCAACTTGTTTAGATAAAAAAGAAAAAGAAAAAAATACCAAAGAAATTTGTATTAAATTTTTTATATTTTCTTGTTTTTTTTTTTCGGTTGTCTCAAATAAAATCAAGTCTATCTCGTATAATTTTATTTTATTTTATTTTTTGATATTCGCGAGCTTGCGCTTGGTGTTCGAAAATAAAATACTCGTCTTCCAAAATTGTATCTAATTTCATTTTTTTTTCTTTTTCTAATGTCCTTAAAAAGCCGTTCAATTTAAACACGCACTTAGTATTCTCGCAATCAATTTTAAATATATTGTTCTTTTTATTCGGATAATCGATAGAAAAGAAAAATCTTTCTAATTCTAAAATAATATTTTAGTCAATTCTCTTTCCGACGACTTTTTTTTCTCTTTTAATTTTAACGAAGGATATTGAAAAAAAATAAGAGAAAAACGAACAAAGAAAATGAGAACTTTTTTGCGAAATGTAATTTTGAACGAGAAAAACGATGAGGAAAGAAAGATTGAATGAAATAATATTTCGATTGAAAATCAAATGAAAAGATACGAACGAACGAACAAACAAACAAACATGGCCGCCGTTCTCTTCAGTCTGTGCACATTCTCTCTTCTCATAGGAAAAGAATAAAAATATTATTTAGATGATCATGATGAACGAAATAGAAAAAAAAAGAACGAAAAATAAAAAAAAAGAAGAAAAAGAAGGGAAAAGAAAAAATTAAGACCAAAATTGGATTCACACACATAAAGTAAATAACACGACTCACCCTAAACCGTTCGATCATAATCAATTGGCAGGTGTGTGTTGTTATTATTATTGTTGTATAATATTTGAAATAGCCAATCTAGAGGAAGAAAAAGAAAAAAGAGAAATAATACCCTTCGTTTTCTCTTTGAAAAAGAAAATAAAAAAAAGAAGAAAAGAAAAAGGAAAGAGAATATACGAAACAAAGTTGCGTTTGTATCTTACTGTTGCGTGTTTCTCTCTTTTAATAAACAAACAAAAAGAAATAATAATTGTTTCTTACATATGTTTTCTTTTTTTTTTTTATTGTCTTGCAATTTTTTATTTTTCTTCTTGTTCTTTTTCTTCTTTTTTTCTTTTTGTTTTATTATTATATAGTTCAATTATTATCGTAGCTTCGAAAAACGGACTCGTGTCTGTGTAATTAAAGTGATGAAAATTATACAAAATTATTATTAATTAAAATTACGAATGAATAAAAAGAGTGAAAGGAAAGAATGAAATGATTATAATGATGATTAATGATGATACACTTGATATAAATGACACATAGATATAATCTAAATACGTAAAAACGTGTACACAGCATACATACACATATACACGGACACCCACAGCAGGACAGACACACTTATATGCCAATGTCCTGAGAGATTGAATAAAATAAAATGAAAATAAAAAAAAAGAAAAATAATTTAAAAAAAAAGAAAAGAAGAAAAAAAAGAAAATGTGCTTGATGAAGAACGTGCAGCGTAAATAAGAATCTTTGTTGTTTATCGCATAGATGCTATATTTAGGGGATAGAACCAAAAACAAACAAAAAAAAATACAAATATCGTTCTGCACCCATCTCACTGTACCTTTATTGCTATTTTCTATAAATTATAATCCGAACGTGTATGTATAAAAAAAATAATTACACTTAACATACACATACACACACATATACATACAAATATGTAGAGCACTTGGTGCATGAATGAACAAAAAAAATACTGGTGTTGATAGAGAAAAGAAAAGAAAGGGCAAATTTGTAAACAATTTTATTCAATTGCGATTTAATATTTAATTGATAGATTAATTAATTATTGTGTCTCGTTTGATGGTATATAATTTCTTCAATTTAGTAATCAATGATCATTATTATTATTAATATTATTATTATTATTATTGTTATTATTATTATTATTATTATTATTATTATTATTATTATTATTATTATTAGTATTATTGCTATTATTATTAATATTATTATTATTTCTATTATGATTATCATTATTACTACTGCTATTTTAATTATTATTACTATTATTATTATTAGAAATGCAGGTAAATTTTATTTTTTAGTTTATAATATTTGCAATTGCAGCAGAACTGAGTTCGCATTCTATTATCAATTATCAAAGATGTTTTTTCATAGTATTTCTACGAAGGAATTAATAAGGTTGAATGAAATATAGGATATAACTATCCTCTTCAGATTCTAATATATTTTAAATATTAGAATGAGAAGAGTAGGATGATTAAAAATGTAGGATCAGTATAAATAGGAACAGAAAAATTTTAATAATCTGACAGATTATACTCCTTCTTGGACCTCCTTAATTTCAAAATCTAATGTGTCTGCTGATTTTATTTTTATTTATATGAAACTGCTAGTTCATTTTTGCAATTCATATTAATATAAATTCTTTGATCATTTATATATATATATATATGAAAAAAAAGAAACAGCATACCAACGAACTATTAATTACTCGTTTCACTTCATCATTTAATTTGAAATAATGTAATTTTTTCTTCTACTTTTACTTCTTCTTCTTCTTCTTCTTCTTCTTGTTCAAATTTTAATTATTTTTTATTTTTATCGTTTTTAAATCGAGGTTAAAAAAAAATGATTTTATTTATCGTCACATTAATGTACTGTGCGAATATTTCATTAGTTGTCGTTCAATTAATCGTTTTGTTTTTTTTTCTTTTTTATTCATTCTTATTATTACTATTATTGTTGTTATTATTATTAGTATTATTATGATTAAAATTATACCTCTCTCTTAATCTTCTTATTTCGTTTAAATGTATAATTATTTTTACAAATATATTCACATTGCGCACGTTCGATCGTTCCGCAAAAGAAAATTGTCAGTGATAGAACATTTTTATTATTAGATTTTAATAATAAGAAATATAGAAGGAGAAAGAGAGAAAATGAAAGAACGAGAAAGAATGTGTGAAAGTAAAAGTGACAATGAAAGTAAGAACGCTTTTCGTTAATAGGAGTGTTCTGAATAATAATGATAATGAAAAAAAAAAAAAAATATAAAAACAAAAACCGACAAACAGATAAACAAACAAACAAACAAACAAACGAACTACTTTACGTGTAGGTATTGTTCCGATATTTTCATTTCAATTTTCGTTCGTGAACTTGCCTGCCTGCCTACCTGCCCGCCCACCTACCTACCTGCCTGCCTGTGCAAAGATAGAACAAAAAAAAAGAAAAAGAAAAAAATAAGAAACTGTGTTGCCTCGACAAATGTGTCTAATTTATTGACAGTGCGATAATTAATTAAACAATTTTAAACTGTGTTTGTGTATACAGCGAGAGAAAGAGAGAGAGAGAGAGAATAATAGTATATATGTGAAAGTGATTAGTATGAAAGTAATTAGGAATGAAAGAAATTAATAATAAAAAGCTTTACCTTCTTTTAATTTTACTTTCATTTTAATTTTATTATATTTTATTTTATTCTCTTTGTTGATAGCTAATGGCATCAACAACAATAATTATAAATTCGTCATACTTTTCATCTTTACTTCCAAATAATTTGTGTCAATTTTAATCAGCAACGTACGCGTTTACGAATATGTATGTGTGTGTATATGTACGTGCAAATAATATTTTTTTATTCGATGCTTTTCTAAATATTTCATCGAATTTTTGAAAAAAAAGAAGTAGAAAAAAATAATAACTAATAATAAATTGAGAGTTTTCTTTTCGAAAATGAAAAAACTTTATATTTTTGTTTTGTTTTTTTTTTGTTTCCTTTTATTTTTTGTTATAATATCGTTGGACGTATTTGCAAATATGTGATAGAAAATTTTCATTCGTTTTCTCTTTGTGGTTTTATTATTAATTAGTATTACTATTCTTTTAATTTTAATGTTTTCACTCTCCTATATTTTGTAATTAAGCCTGAACTATTATTGCAACCGAGCGATCTCACGCGTTTTTACTTTAAGGGTAAATTTAAAAAATAAACAAAAATAGATAAAAAAAATCCAAACGAATTTAAATTAAATGAAACATTATTTGAAAAGAAAAAAAAAAGAAAAAGAGAAAAAAATAAAACGCAAGAAAAAAATTAATAAACAAAGAGGAAATGGCGGCGTACGACAAGGTGAATTTATAAATAATATGTAATGCCTTAATGTTAATAATAATAATGGGAATAGCGTTGTTACATAATATCGATTAGTCCACGGACGACGATGGATAAGATGGATGAAGTGGTGAAAAGAAGAAGGACGAAGGGAAGAATAAGAAAAAGATAAAGAAAGAGATAGAGAGAAACAAAAAATGTTGAGTAATTAATTACTACAAATAATCAAAGTGGAAGATTAACAATTAATGAATAAAAAAAAAATTAATACACACAGACACACATACACACACACAACACAACAAACTAATTAAAACAACGGGAAGATGAAGGAAGGATCATTTTTGTCTCTATCGCGTTTTGTTCGTAATTTAATATTTTTTTATAATTCCGTGAACTGAAAAGAGAGAAAGAGAGAAAGAGAGAATGATTGAGTGTGTGAGCGTGGGAATGAGAAAGGGAACGGCAAAAATGAAAAGATAGAAAGAAAGAGAGAGAGAGAAAAAGTATAAAATTGTGTATGTATAGAGCGGACTGCTGTTTCAAAATAGTTCAGGCTAGATGTCGATGTTTGTAGCAGATAAAGAACAATACAAAAACAAAACAAAAAAAAACACAATTCAGCATATTGTAATTAAAATTAAAAGTCATTAATATCGCTCGTCTTTCATTTTTTGCCACACAAAATCTTATTATTAGTACAATTCCTATCACACAAATTTAAAAACAAAAAAAGAAAAGAACAAGTATAAGAATAATAATAGTAATAATAATAATAACTAAATAATTAAATAATTAATTATGAGCATTATGAAAGTTATAAAATATTCGTGAAATGAAATGAACAAATTTACTACGCAAGTATTATTTTAAATAATTGCGTATATAATAATCGATTATTTAATATCGATTATTATTAATTAGAATTCGTAGTACGTGTTATTCCTTTTGAGAGTCAAATTTTTTCTTTCCCCTTTTGATGATAGAAAATTTATGGGAATGTCGCAGTCCCTGTACAAAAGATCACAATTTTCACCTCTAATTCCAGCCGATCTTGCATCATCGATCAATCGATCCCATCCTGTTGACGATTTAACTGATTTTTCAACGTTTCTTCTGTAATTTTACAATATTTAAAATACATTTTCTATTCTAATCATTAAATTATCAAAATTATCGTAATATTCGGATAAGTTTTTTTTTTTTTTCTTAAAGAAACTAAGTATTTCAATTTTATTTTATCTAACATCTTATCTTAAAAAAGAAGATAAACGATAACACACTTACGTCAAATATTTACCGAGTAATTTTCCAATCAATCCAAGATCGTGAAATAAACTTTGATTTTCTAAACAAATTGTCCTTTGAATGCAACGTACACGTGCATCATCATTCAATACAATTTCTTCTTCTGGCGTCTATTAAATAAAAAAAAAAAAAAAGAATAGAAATTTTGATTAATTTATAAGAATCGTAGAATATAATAATTAATTAATTAATGCAAAGATATTGGTAATAATTTTTACTAACAATGTTATGAAAATCGTATGTAGAATGTACGTCGCGTTTACGTTTCGATGGAAGTACATCTATCAATGCATCTTTTCGTTTAGTCGAAATTAATGTATTTTGAATGATAGCAAATAACAAAAGCAAACCAATGAAGCTGACTATCACAAGTTGTTTAGAAGTTGTTGGTGCTATCGCTTGTTCTACATTTTGCACTACTGGATAACTGAAGTTTGGATATTCAAAGGCGTAAGGTAAACTTTCGCTTCGGTGATGAACGATTGGTGGCTGCAATGCTGCTGATTAAATTCATATAAATTATAAGAAAAATAAGTATATCTTATTTTTTATTCTAAAAAATAACAGAGCAACGTTTATTCATCGGCATGATAATATTTTCTTTATTAAATCATTCTACTGGTATATATTTTTTATATTTCTTTTCTAATTCATTATTTTAATTTTGTTATTTAAAATTAATTTTAACATTGGATACAAAAGGAAGGAGATACAAGGCGAATAAATAATTAATTTTATATGTTAAATAATATTGATCAATTGATGATAATTATGAGTTCGGTAATTTTAATAAATACGTCGGAATATTTTTCAATTGAATGATAATATTTATTTATCGTACGAAAAACGTATATTTTGAATTTATAAAAATTAGCTCGATAATTAGTAACAATTTAATTTATTGAGAAACGATAACTAATTGGACGAATAATTATTTTGAAATTAAATATTTATTGCATCATTATCTTTTTCTCTCTTTCTTTTATTTCTAATTTCATTACTAATTATCAATTTATGGTATTAAAAGAAGAAAAAAATGAACTTTTTACCAGGAAGATAATAACTCGGTGGTAAAAGTTGCTGAGAAATATGAACCGAAGAGGCCTGTGTAGAATCTGGATGAAAAGTCGAGTCGATTATCTTTCCAGCAAATTCCAAATTAGAATTATTTTCTTTGTTAGGAAAATATGATGCGACGTTAGAATCCTGAGCGATAATTAATACGACTGATAAGAAGTTGATTAAAGAAAAAAACTGAATTCTTATGAAAAAACAACACATTTTGTTATAAACAAATTATATTTTAAGTCACTTATAGATCCAAGAAGATAAAATATCTTTCCAATATGAACCGCTAAAGTACGAGGACGAATGAAAACTGAAGAAATTCAACGATTCAACGAGATATTTAAATAATCGTCGGAAAAAGGAAACACACAACTTCCTCCTTCGTGTCCTCGTTAATTCGATACACTCGAGATAATCGAATAAGTGAAGAAACAATTCGTAGAAAAAAAAAACGTTTGATCGTGCATTTGCATTAGGCTCGTTGACTCCTCTGACGAGATACGAAAGAATCATACGTGACTTCTTCCACCGTATTTCTTTATTAAATATATACCTAACTCGCGACAAGCTTTCACGGTGAGAGTATATAATACAAATTATATTATTAAAATTAAATATAAGTAACTTTTTTTCATATTCTTATAGAAAACTATTCTTCAATTTAATATTTTTTCTTTTATTAATGCTTCCTTTAAAGTTTTTTCTGCATTTATTACAATTGGATTTAATTATTGCATGTGTATTATTTTAAGTATGATTTTGCAGTATCGATTCAATTATATTCTTTCATATTTATTATTCTTTTCATATTAAATTTATATAATATAATACAGAGAAGAGTGTGTTCGTGAAAATATTAACACGTTCATCACTTCTTTATAAATACTGTAAAAATATTTCAACGAAATCAAGAATCATAAAGAAAAGATTTATATTGTGTATCTTTGCTTTCCTTTTATTCTTCTTTCTAAAATAAAAAATAAAAGAAATAGAAGTGTTTCGGTGTAAATCTGTAGCCACAAGGTCCCAAAGCGATCAGAGGGAAAGAAAAAGGAAGACTTAGTAAAAGAAGAGGATTGTAAAAGAGAAGAGGAGGAGAGTAGAAAGGGGGGGAAGTGGAAAAAAAGAGGTTGAAATGGTTGCTTAGGATGCCTACTGAATCCAACGGGGTTGCTATGGCGATGGAACGGCCGACATTGAAGTGGGATGCGGGGGATGTTGGTAGGGTGTTGCTCGAAGGGTGTTCGTCTGTCTGGAGCCCCTTCTCTCTTTCTAAAGGGGATGATGTTCTTCGTGCTGTCTGTCTGTCTGAGCCACTCACTCGCATTACTACTCACTCGCGTCAGCTGTTTTAGAGACGAGTATATGATTTTTGTTACATCCCCTTTTTTTTCTTTCTTTCTTTTTTTCATAAAGAAGATGAAGAAGAAGAATTCTCTTAAACCTTGATAACATTCATCATATTTTAAACGAAAATATTTTTTTTCCTTAACGTTGAATTAATTTTTGATGTAATTGGAAGCACATTTTATATTTTATAATTTAATACTATTTAACATATTATATTTTTTAAATTTCTTTTCAATTTTTATAATTGTATAATCATAACTTTCAAGTAATATATTCATATATTTATTTTTTTATATTGTTTTATCTTAAAATTAATGTGTCACCAGATATTCAAAAGTTAAATATTTAATAATTATGTATTAATATTATTAATTACAGGTTTAATATAGTTACATTTGATAATATTGTTTTTAATTTTCTTTTTAAAATATCGTAATATTATTTGATCATAAAATTATTTACTGATTTATCTTAATGATTGATATTTCCAAATATAAACTTTACATTAATATCATTAACACTGTAACTTTCACATACAATTTGTTATCTTAAAAAAATAATAATCATATATATTCGATTAAATTGTCTACATATATTTGCGTGAATTAAGAAATCTATCAAACGTCAAATTTTAAATGAAATTTATTGTCATAACGTTTGTTTTTTTCTTTTCTTTTTTTATTTTTACTCTTATTTACGAAGAAAGAAAAAAAAATAACGGGTGTAGATATTTTTCATGTCAGAGATAATAAAGACACGATATTCCGAGCCGACTTGTTAATTATGTCGTGTTCTATTATTTCCAGACTAAACATAATGATCTATTCTCGAACAAGGCAAAGTTTCAGAGCAGAGCAGAGCAGAGTATCGAATATAAAGTATTAACGCTCGAGTTAAGTGCAGGGCTTTGCTCTATAATAAAACTCATCGGTGATGTTGAAGTTGACGATTATGGAAATACTTTGATGTTATTAATTTTACAGTCTATTTAATTAGATTACCGTCAAGAGTCTTGTCTTTTCTTATAAATATTACGTGCCACGATTAATTTCTTATGTTAATTAAATTATAACAATATTTTATCTCGTCAACTTATTTCTTATATTATAATATTTTTCGCGATTAACACAATATCTAATTTATTTCTATTATAATATCAAAATTTAATTATATTATAATTTCTATTTAAATAACAAAAGTATGTAATTTTTGTTGTTTCTATATCTCTGTCACAAATATTATTATAATCAAAATCAAACCATTGGAGATTGATTCATTAGAGTCTTATTAAATCCGAAACAAGATTAAACATTTTATTAACAAACTTGTTCAAAATCTTTGGTAAATCTTCACAAATATATGAAGTTATATTTGTTACAGAATTTTAATTAATATGTATATCTTCACAAAAAGAAATGTATTTATACATATATTTTAAAATAGAAGAAAAGTAAAAAGGTTTGATGATAAATTCAACAATGATCAACTTGTAACATAAATAAAACTATATTAATTATACAATCAATCCACAATAGCCTGACATATAAATCGTCCATTTCACAGATATATAATTCAATTTAATTCTGTATTTATTTTTATATCTCACATCTCTATTTTACGTAGTAATAAAATTAAATTTAAACGCGTGTTTTTATGACCCTATATACTATATACCGAGCTAATAAAAAATACATGAACAATAAATAGACCGTAGAAAAATATGTAATTTTTATGAGTAATTTCTTTTGTTGGAATTACTTTTGTGTGCACGTCAATAATTTATTTAAATAATTACAAACAGTAACTGGTACTGATTAGGACGTTTCATCGTCGACATGTTTGTTTGATAATTTGCTATTGGAAGAAGATCCATTGAAAAATTCATTTCACATTTTTGAAAAGAAAAATAATCTATCGTCACAAATCTGTAACATTCAATAAACAAAAAAAACAATTTATCTATAATATAATTCAAAATCATATTAAAATAAGATCGAATAAAATATTTATAAAAATGAATACTTACGATGCATTGAAAATGCAAAATACGCAACGTAAAATGCGTAATAATTTAGTATTTAATTTTACACAAATTTCAGATAATTATTAAAAAGAAAATGATATTCTTTACATCTTGCTGTAACTTCAAAATTATAACAGTTAAAAAAATCTGTAAAAATTCGTAAGTATGGCTACTATTATAAGAATAATGTCAACAAAGTTTCAAACTTTTTGAACAACCACTTTGGCCGAAATAAAAAATGGATCATTCAATGCCAAAACCATACCCTCCCCTATTATTTAAACAGGAAACTTACATGGCTGTACGGCAAAGATTAAAATTTAGATAAAGACTTGAAACTTGGGTAGTCATTTTTTTGTTTTATTTATATTTCGAGTTATATAAGTCTGGAAATATATAAAAATTCAAAAATACTCAAAATGTAGCCAAAATAAGGATCACGTTAATATAGGTTGGTACATCATGGAAGATGTACGTATTAGGGTCACACCGATAGACATGCCGCGTGAACGAGCTGCGATTTTACGCCAACGCGACACCAGCTAACGATATATTTTTAGATCGCTTTTACGAAGAGTAGCAGCTTCCAACCTGACACTTGTGTAACTTTTATTTTACCTTTTTTCTTTTACCTTTTCTTCCTTTTTTTTTTTTAATTCTGTAACACACCTATTTAAGTTAGAGCGCGCATTGCAACATTTTTAAACGTTGCGTACTTTTAATATATTCAGTGTGTTAATCAAATGTTTTTTCCCCCATTGATTTTCTTTTTGTAGGTTAAAATTTGTTAATCCGTAATTTGACGAATATGATATATTTTGAAAGAAAAAGAAAAAAAAATATACCGGATAATTAACAATGCGATGTATTTATCGTTTCTTGAAAAAAGAAAATTGGTTTCTATTTTCTTTTTTATTTATTTTTCTTTTTTTTTTTTTTTTATTTATTCGTATGAAATATCGATCGACTTGTTTTACATATGTAACGTTGAATTTTTCGAGAGTACAGTGTGTTGTATGTAATTAATTGTTCGCAATTCTTCTTATTGCGTTTGACCAAACGTACGGTTTACTACTTGCCGACACGCAACGGCGTTAAACTATGATTCGTTGAAAAATTGATCGACCGAATATTTTTCTACGTTTAGTCCGATAAAGTATAACAAGATTTTTAAATTTTCTTTTCGAAATATAGATATTTCTTTTGTGTATTTTATTTTCAATAGAATTCAATAGATTGACCGATAAGTAATCAACACTGCTTTTATAATTGTTTATATTTATATAAATAACGCTGGTATTTTTTGTATTTAACAGAAAAAATGTTCTGTATTTTTTATTTCAAGATAAGGAGAAAAAATTTTGATATTTAAACAAATATAAATTGTATCATAATAAATGTTAATATTACTAAAAAAAAAAAAAAGGAAAATGATTAACGTTTTACATCCAAAAAAATAAAACTATCAAATAATTCTTATCTAAAAAAAAAAAAAAAAAATATACAATTATTTATATTATACTTTTAGAAATTAAATGTAAATAATTTTATATAAAATAATAAGAACATTGAAGTAGTTACTGCCGTTGATCAGACAGTCATATTAAAATGAATTTCACTTGCATAAGATCTCAAAAATGATCTTTTGCAAGTGTCCAAAGCTGAGGGTCGAAAAAGCCTCAAAGGATATTCCATTCAGGTCAAACGACTTGGGAAATCCCTTAAAGATGAGAGACTTAGACTAGAAAACTTCCTTCGAGATTATACCAAAAGGATATCAATTTTGATCTTATTTTATCTTTTTTTTTTTCATTTACTAAAGTAATCCATCTTCGTTTAATCTTCTTCTCGGAATATCCATTCGTCTAAGCCAATTTGGACAAATTTTATGACAAGGATTTGTCCTACATTCTCTATTCTACGAATAATTTTATTTAAAGAGAGAAATAGATAGAAATTAGGGACAGAGAGAGAGAGAGAGAGAGAGAGAGAGAGAGAGAAACCGAAACTGTAAAAGTAACAAACAGTTGAATATTTTTCAACAATGGATAAATGGATTAATCGTCGATGCAAATTTAGTTTTGCAAATGGGATAATTAAATTTTCCTAGTTCCTTTCCTATCTTTATTCTCCTCTTCCTATCTTCTTCTCGCTTTAAAATTTGTTAAGAAATTAATATCTATTGACAAACTCAATTTCTACATAAATTTGTATTTTTTTTTTTACCAAAGTTGAAATTTAATGAACCTTTATATATAATAATTTATTACCATGAATTTATTCAACAATAATTCATTGGAGACAAATGAATCTCTTTCTTTTCTAAAATAATAGTAAATCGTCAATGTAATAAAAAAAAATGGAAATAAACAACTAACTATGACGAATTTAAGGATACGTAGGAAGGAATATCCTTGACCTTCCTCAATCGTCTGAAAAGGAGACCTCCTACGTATTTCTTCGAATGACTTTTTATATTTCATTCTTTTTTCTTTTTCTTTAATGTCTTTTATTCTATTTGTTTTCTATTTTTTTCTTATTTTGAAGAAGGAAATTAAGGAAAAGAAAGAAAAGAAGAAGAAAATGTATCATCCCTTTTTGATTTTCCTCTAATTTATTCCACCCAAACGTTGGCTGACGTGTTCCTCTCATCTCCTGGGAGATGAGGATTTTCGAATAATCGATTACTTACTTTGGTATTAATCGATCGGTCGAATGTAATTTATTGAATCATATTCTAATAAATTTGTAGGAAGTTTTTAATGGTTCAATGAAGAGAGATTCATAAGGTCACATTTTTCATCTCGTTTATTGAATATCATAAATATTTAAATAAACACGCACACATATCCTTTGATTTATTTTTAATTATTGTTTTAAATAAAAATGATTGCACAACATTTATGAACGATATAACATTTTATTTTATCATTTATCAATAATTTTTATATAAAATGTTATTTTTAAATAAATCCACACAAATCTGTAATTTTATTTTAAATTAAATAAGAAAATACGTGTTAAATATTAACTTAGTTAATTGTCCATTGATCGGATAGTCAAATTTAATTTTTCAATTCATCGATATATCAATGATTTGTATTTTTAATTTGAATATGAAACATATTAAATATTGAAAGTAGTAACATTCGTTAGACCAGACAGTCATAGAACATTTATTTTAATACTAATGAGATTAAACTATTTCTAAGTAGGTCAGTGATATTTCAATTGCATACGAATACACGTGAAGAAACTTTCCCATGCACAGAAATTTATGTAAGTTGTTAGAATGATAAGAAATAAATATAGAAAGCGAAATTGAATTGACATTTGGGTCAACATCTAATTTTGTGAAGAAGAAAGTATATAAAAAGGACGAGATATGAAAGAGCTGTAAAAAAAAAAATAAACAATCGATTTTACGTATCTTAAGGATTGTAAAATAATAATTAAAGGTAAATAAAGATAATAGAAGAGAAAAATTGAAATTACGTCGTTGTCTTCGTCGTCGTAAAATGTCTTTTTATTCTTTTACATATTTTCTATTATTTTCTTGTTTTTTTTCCTTTTTTTTCATCGTCTAGTAAAAAGCATTTTTATTTAGAAGTCGATAAACGTGTAAGATGTCTTCGAAGGGGGATCGAAGAGGGTTCGACGTGATAGTATGAGCAAGGATAAGACCTTGTGAGGGGAGAAAAAATAAAAAAGAAGAAAAAGAAGAAGTAAAAGAAGAAGAACCTTCCTTCTTTATTTAATACCTAAAAACGTAAAAGATTTATGCATTAAGCCTCGAGGATAAAGCTTTAAATTAATAACGAAACGTATTATAGTCCTCTTTCAGGGTTATAAAAAAAGAAATAAGAAAAAAAGAAACGGAATAAAGATAAAGAGATTTGCAGTACTTCCGGTTAGAGTCTCTGTTTTCCAGGGGGGTCTCTCTCGACGTGAAAATCTCGACCTACCTCGAGTCAAGAGGATCTACGTAGAAAACCATTAAGAGACCACAAAGTAGAAACATAAGAGGGAATTACTCTCAAGATATTTATAAGAGTTCAAATTGTGGATGTTTATTTATCGAGAAATCAAGAAAATATGATTCAATTAATTATCAACAATTATCTTCCATTGAATTAATCAAAATCAACACACATATTTATTTAAATATATATTAAATTGAACGAGAATGTAAACAATTCGTACTGTAACAATACAAATAATCATCGAATTATCTCGTTAACCATCGAACGATTAATATTTCCCATTTAACTTTATACATTTAATTTACTAACTCATTTTTTATTTTTTATTTTAAATTATTTGAATATATTTATTATAAATCGACGAGAATATAAAGATCATAACCAAAATAAAAATAATAATCATCAATAATATTATCACCTTGTTGACATAATAACAAAAATTAACAAAAAACTATATAAACTAATTTGGAAATAACTTGATAATATTGAATAATATCGAAATAAAAAGAACAATAAGATAGATTGTTATAAGAATAATCTGACTAATGTTTTACCGAAAAGAAATCTCAGGGCGTATACACTTTATTATGGTCTTGGGTACAAGTTCCTGCCTTTCGTCCGAACGCAATACCCTCTTCCTAAACAACACATCTCTGTCCCTCTCTCTCTCTCTCATATTATCCCTCTTCTTGTCGTCTCTCTTTTTACCACCCCCGACGATCGACGTTCGCCTTTCACATTTATCGAACGAATGCGCGCGCATTGCACAAGTGGAACGGGGGAGGGCGTGCTAAGTCTTGGTTGGTTGATTGTGGTGAAATCGTCGTATACGAAAATCATCACGAACTGAACAACCACTACGACTAAGGACGACTAGGACTACTAAAACTACTAGGACGACCAGGACGACGAAAACGACGAGGACGTTAGACTCTGACGAACATCTCGACGAAGACGACGACAATCGGTCCGAGAACTTTGGAGAGCATCGTATTCTCCACAATTCTCTCTCTCTCTCTCTCTCTCACACCCTCTCTTTTTCTTCTTGTCTTTGAAAACGCAAGCGCGCCAATATTCTATCTCTTTTTCTCTCTAATCATGCGCATGCTCATGCTAAACAACCATTCTCACCCCTTATCCAACTAACCCATCATTCCTTCTGCAAACTCTCTCTCTCTTTTCTGCAACCCCTCTTTTTCCCTCTAATTATTCTCTCTCTCCCACTCTCTCTCTCCCACTCTCACTATAATTTTCTTTCGCATTTTCATTCTCTGTCACTCCAATGTTTTTTGTTTCCCTTTCCCTCTTGATCTAATTTTCTCCCTCCTTCTTTCTCTCTCTCTCTCTCTCTCTCACTTACCCTCTCTTATCTGTATCATTATAAATCTTCTCTCTCAAATTTTTCCTTGTCAATGTAATTGTTGTTCTCTCTCTCTCTTACTTACTTGATATTAATATCACTTCTCTCTCTCTCTCTCTCTCTCTCTCTTTGTCATTAGGAACGGGAAGGCGGGGGTTATAGAGGAGAGGAAAGGAAGAACGTATCTCTAAATCCGCCCCCGTCGTTCATTTACGTGCGCGCGTTTCCCGAGCGCGACGAATCAGCCTCGGGGCAGCCACACGACGGGAGCTGCTCGTTCGTTTGTTTGCTCGTTCGTACGTTCGTTCGTTCGTTCGGTACGTACGGTACGCGTACGGTACGTCCGTCCGTCCGTCCGTACAACGTTCGTTCGCGATCGTGGTCCGTGGTCGTGTCGCGTTATAACCGATAAACAACAAAACGTTGGTGGTGACTACTACTACTACTACTACTGCTACTAGTATATTACTACTACTACACTGTTCTGTGGCCGTCTCGTTCAGGAAGTTGAGATAGCAAACGACGGATCTCGGAGTTTCAGTTATAAGGAGTGAAAGATACAGAAGGGACACAACAGTTGTAGTCGTCGTTGTCGACAACTCGTGTGCAATTTCTTTTAATAAATCGAAATCATCGTTTGCGGTGTTTATATTCCATTGACAAACGTCTCGTTTGAATATTTTTCTTTTTTTATTTTTTCTTCTCCAAAATATTTAAGAAGAAATTGGAAATAAAGGTTATCGTCTTATACGACGACGACGTTTTATTGATAAAACTATTTTTTCTCTTTTTTTTCCACATCTCCTCTCCAACGTTTATCGTTATACGAGGATTTATATATTTCAAAAGGGGGAAAAAATAATTGAATGAGAATAATTTTAATAACAAAGAAAATAAAAAAGAAGCATAAATAAATTCGTAATTTTGTGCGGATATAAAATAAGTCTTCTTTTCTTACTTTACCCCTGTCGGGTTTCTCTCTCTCTCTCTCAAGACTTGAGATCGAGTAAAAGAAAAACAAAAAAACAAAAAAACGATTATAACTCGACTAAAGGGCTCGAAAGTAAAATATTCTTTCCAAGTCTCTGTTCCTCGAAGAAGTAACGTGGGATCGATCGATACGGCCATTTTGCACGGCAACCGACATCTTCATCGGCCGCCATCATCAACCTTCAGGAGGAAGAACACCTCTTTCAACGAAAGAGAAAGAGAAAGAGGGAAAGAGAGAGAGAGGGAGGGAGGAAGTGAGAAGAAAAAGATTTCATCAATAAATCTAAACGATATATCTTGATCGTTAATATTATCTACGAACGATCGTGTCCAGTGTTGTCGTAATATAATCAAGTTGGATTACCGATTACGTGTTAAAGGGGAAAGAAAGAAAAGGAACGAAAATAAATAATAACACAGAGGAGAAGAAATTAAAAAGTGTGATTTGGTATCGTTTGGTAGAGACGACGAACTCTTCTTATAGTTAGTTTTATCGATCGTTTGACTCTACGGCCATATTACTTTCTCTCTCTCTCTCTCTCTTTCTCTCTCTCTCTCTCTTTTTCTATATATACATATACACATAGATATACCTCGAAAAGGGTACGTGCAGTAGCGTCGTGGGTGAATTATCGTAAATACCCCAAAGTTATACAAATTGAAGAACAAGTATTGACAAAAAGAAAAACTAGAGAAAGAGGAGGTGTCTAAGTAGGATCCAAGGAATTCGTTTAGGATATTTGTGTGAAAGGATCGACCAGGAAAAAGGAAAAAAAGAAAAAGAGTTAAAGGAAGAGTAAGAAGAAGAAAAGGAAGAAGTGGTGGTGGTGGAGGCGGAGGAGCAAGTGGTGGTAGTGGTCGTGTCCTTCCGGTAGAAGGAAGAAGTCAGCAGGCTGGGAGGTCGGCTGAGCGAGGCGGTGGGTCCCGTCGTGGAGGAGGCCATCGAGCCAGGGGATGCAACCCCGCTGACGGGACCCTCGAGGGAGTCCTGGATTCCTCGAGCACCCCCGCCCCCTCCGCCACGCGTTACGACACAAAGTCCACCGAGACCTCCGCCCACTACCATTACAACAACAACTACTACTTCTACTGCTATTAATACTAATACTAATATTAATACTGAGTCCGAAGAATCGCGAACTAACTCGGTGGCCCAAAATCCAGAAACCCAACGTAATTCGAATCCTGCTGGACAACAACAGCATAATCCACACAACAATCCGGGTGATCACTCGGGCAATCCAGGTGATACCAGTGAGGAAACGAGTAATCCCGGTAGTAACACTCATCAAACTGCCCAGACCACTCAAACTCACCCCCAACAAGCTCAAACACAACAACAACAGCAACAACAACAACAACAACAGCAACAACAACAACAGCAGCAGCAGCAGCAGCAGCAGCAAGAACAACGATCAACCATGGGTACTGTTTTGTCATTCAGTCCTAGGGATCGGCGTGGCACCGTTTATCCACCAACGGGTCATCAACATCCTAGCGATTTTACGCTCAACAATTTCAATTACGAGCAATTGAATAATGCGAAAAATCGGGAGAACAAAAGTGCCGTTGCTACGGTAGCACCGGCACCACCTACGAGTCATCCACCATCGAACAATAATTCATTGCAAAATAATAATATTAATCTTAACAATAACGACAATGCAAGAATAATATCGGAAAAGAATGCATTGGAAAAGAATTTGAAGAAACATTCGTTGTTCATTAATGCGTTATCGTGGAAACGATTCAGTACGGCAAACAATAATAAGAAAAAACTCGATAACAAAAACAAAAATATCGCTTTTAGACAACCACTCGATAACATTCCCATTGTCGATAAGAACAAAAATATACAAACACCTCAGGTAAGCTTTCATCTAATTATCATAAATGTTTATCTTATTTTCGTAAGATTACATTATCGTTACTTTTTTATTTGAACTTTACAATTCACTCTTATCGAAAAACTTTCATCCCCTATTATTAACTACTTTATAAAAGTTTCTCTTGAGTAATATATTTCACGTGTATTTTCTACATTGCTTATACACGATGTATTCGGTAATGTTTTGTATTTATATTGATAAACGTTAAATCGTAATTCTCATACTCATAAAGAAAATTAAAAATATATACATATATTTATATTTGTAATCATTAGAAAATTAATTAAATAAAAAAAATAAATGAAAGAGATCATTTCTAATTTACGGTTATAACGATGTTAAAAATTATTTCTATCATTGGCTAGATTTATTATTTTATTTGTAGACTCGTCCATCGATTAACATCATTTCCTAGATTACGTAAATTTGTTCAATATTTAATTGCATATTCAAATTTCCTTTATATATTACCATACTATATTAATTAAATAAATAATTTAGGTACAAATATGTGACTAAACAAGATCGTGTCGGGTGTGATTCAATAATTATTAATTCGCTTATTTTATAGACTCGTCCGTTGATTAACTTTTTCGTAGACTCAGTTTTATTCTAATAATTATTGATTAAAAATGTTCTACAATAATTATTTGAAAAGAAAAATAAAGAAATGAAATAAGTATAATAAAAATAAAAAATAAATTTGACACAGACAAAAGCACCAGCGTCTAACAACAACCATACAACGCACAATCCAACGTGCGAAAAATTGGTACAGAAACCATTGCCACCTGGACCAAGGAAAACCGTCATCCAAGCGTCCACGTCAGAACTGCTAAAGTGCCTCGGCATTTTCTTACGCAGGAAATGCACGCGATTAAGGGACTTCCAAGCTGGCGATGCAGTAATGTGGCTTAGAACAGTCGATAGGAGTCTCCTGCTTCAGGGTTGGCAGGTAAATTATCTTTTAAATAATTTTAAATAATAAAATAACAAAAATTTTCTATATTCAAAAATAATCATTAAAATTTTACGAGAGACTTCTTTGAGTAAGATACATACATTTGTTTTATTTCTAATCAACAATATCGTTAATTATACTTGTCAATGTATCATTAAATTTTCAAGAAACAAACTCATTCCCAAAAGGGAAATAACATAAATTGGTAACATGCATCAAAAGATCCCTTCTCTCTCGATTCTTGTCCACGTCCATTGGGAATAAAAGTGTAGAAAAGTTCACATACGTCAATTCTAATGTTTGTTTGTTTAAGAACTAACCTGTCAGTACAGTTTTTTTGTTGTTTTCTTTTCGTATACAAATAATCAAGAATGTCGTGTACGATTTTATTTAGGAAAGACAATGTTTATAAATATTAATAATTACATTAGATACACTTCAAGTTTTACTAAATTTTAATAACTGAATACATATGGTATACTATTCAAAATATACTCATAATTGATTATTTACTAAATATATTGTTTAAATTATTATTTGAAAATATACAAATAATGATGATAATAATAATATTAAGAAATAAAGAAACATTTGAAAATTTAATAACAAAATTTATATACGAGCACGTTATTATTCGATTCTAAGAGATTATTTGTAAGAAATCGTAAAGAAATTTATCGTTTACGCTAATATTCTTTGTAGTTAGTATAAATTAAAATTTTTTTATAGTTATCCCACATACGAACAAACATGAAACAATTTTTTTACGATTTTATCGATCGTCTTACGAAACGTTCGAATATCGATTACGATATGTAACATATCTAAAACTTAAAAAGTAACGTCATTTTAACATAATCTATGGTCAACTTTGAACGTTTACATTTCCAAGAAAGTTTCTTCCGTCACGTGAAAAGATCATCGCGTTTTCACGACGATCGCGATAAAACGTGTATCGATTGACTTACCTAAACGTACACGCGCACATACACACGCGCGCGCTAGACACACACACTCACACACAACACACTTAAATACACGGGCGCATTTACGTCAGCGTCTATGTTCATCGATCTTTGTCATTTTCTTTCTCTTTCTTTCTTATTAAAGAAAAAAAAATATTCATATTTTTAATAATAAAACATACGTCAGGAGAAAAGCAATGTTATTGTAAAATAACATGCTATTTAATTAGAATAAATTATATTATAGCTCCCTTTTCTTTTCAAAGGGCGTTGGCCCTACAAAAAAAAAAGGATGATCGAACGAATTTCAGTGTAAGATAAAGGACATTAAAATTCTGGATGCGTTCGTGCTATGTTTCGTCTAACATTTGGTGAACGTTCTCCTTGCGTGTTTTTATGCAATCTTTGATAAACTTAAAAGATAATTATTTTCAAATGGTTTCAACGAAACATATATGCGTGATTCGTATACATTTTCTTCTATAATACGATAATAAATAACTTTACACATTTCATTAAGTATTAAAACAAATAAATATTTTCTTTCGTTCGTATTTTTAAACTTCATTTATTTTGATAAAACATTTTTTTATTAATTTATATTAAGAAACATTATCTATTGAGAAGTATCTTCAATGAACTTATAATGGAAAAGATTTTGTTATTTAAAAAATGACGAAAGTAATTTGACGATGAATAATGATATTGTTTATTATGTATAATTAATGAGTTTTGAGCATGAGATAAATTATTTGAGATTAGATTATTGAGAAGACGATCACTTTGATTATACTAAAATTTGTGGTAGAAAACGAAGCAAAAAAAATTAAAAACATTATCATATCCGATACCGGCAACGAGATCATTAGAACGTTTCTTTGAGAGTACTGAAAGGGAAAAATCGTTTAACAGAGAACCGGATGTTGCTTAAATCGAAAACTGGTAAAGACAGGAACAATTTCGATGTTGGTTAGGACTCAAAAACGTGAGAAAAACGCGAGCGCGTAATCATTTCGTTCAATCCATCTCATCATCTCAAAAGTACCGAGAAATATTGTTGCAATAACCGACAAAGGATGTTCATATGAGCGGTCTTTATGAATTTTCAACACTGTCATGGGAAATAAGTAGAACTATGCGTGGATGAGGCAAAGACAAAGATTCCAAGTTAAAGAGAGAGAGAGAGAGAAATAAACCACAGGGATGAAGGGGTGGTCACATGCAGCAAGAGGGCTGCGCTGGGCAACGTTGCAAAGCCACCCCTTAGATGTAGAAAAATGCGGCAGGGTTCTCGAACAGGGACGTTCACCCCTCTGCTATCGAATGTGGAGAGGGTTCGGATTTCGTTTCGTACATTGGCCTCTACTCTACCCTTAACTTTATGGGGTGTCCCAGGGGATAACAGAATGAGAGAGAAGGAAAATACATTAATGTGCTATTCGTGTTACCAATGAGATACCTAATTTCATGGATCGATTTTTTCCATTTCATTTAATTAGTATATATTATCCTTTTATTGATAACAAAAACTGATGAACGTTTATTTAAGTTTTTGTATTTTTCCATATTTTTTTCTATTTATAATATAAGTGTATAATGTTTGATATACTTTCTTTTATGTTTAATATGAATCATTATACGAGTATCGTTCATGTATATATTTATATATACGTGTTAGTTATGTGTTTGATAAACTATCGATACTTTGAGGTGCATATCGACATTCATAGAACACCTGTCGTTAAAACGTTCAATATGACGAGTAATAAAAAATCAAGGTATCCTGACCACGGTAAATCACTTGCGGTTTGCACGATTCTGAGGTTTCCACGTGACATCAACAAGCACTGATCTTATAGCTGCACGTGTCAAATCTAATCAGTTTTGGGGTTTAACGTATTTTACTTGTTCTAGAAACTTGATACGCAGAATAGGAAAATAACGTTTTAAACATTTTTTAATATTTCTGTTTAAAAATTATGAAAGTAACTTGATTTATAATTAATAGATCTTTCATCCTTCATTTTAAATAAAAAAAATCAAGTTTGCTTAATTATAATGAACATTTAAATGATTCCATTGTGATTGTCTTCATCAGGAAAAAGGACAAAAAAATTTATTTTTTAAAATTATTAACAAATTTGATTTAATTATAACAATATAATTAAATTGTTTAAATAAATAGAGAATAAATAATCTTTTAAAATGGTACTACTATCAAGTCTCTACGATTTTTCATTCCGAAGATATAAGGAAAAGAAGATTTCCATTCATAATTCATGCAACATCTGTTCGTAGTAGTAAAAGTGCGTAAATTTGTAGAATTTATATAGGTCATTGATCCAATTATGAATAAAATTATGTAGGTCAGTGGGTTAACGTAAAAATAATTCATTCTTATGGGAATATCTCGGGAAATAATAATCGTAGAAACTTGATTAATACATTATTTTAAAGCTTAAATGATTCTCTATTTTTTAAACATATTTTTAATAATTAATAAAAATTTGTTATAACAATTTTTACGAAGAAATTCTCAGGAACTGAATTCACCTCAATTTTTTTATAGAAAAATTCAGATTTCGAAGGATTTACAAAATATCATAAATTTCTAAATAATTCATAGACAAATTAATGTTTTTCAAGTAATAAATATTCAAAGTAAACGCAATGTAATTGCAGAAGTAATCGTGCAAGAACGATTGAATTTCGAGATGAATGAATTTTTTGTCTTATCTTCGATCTTCTCCAATTCTTATATTTTCTATTAGATCTTTTCTTGTGTAAACGGATACCAAAGTCTACCAATAAATATTTCGTATATAGAAACTCCAGATCTTCCGATATCTTCGTAGACCATGTTCTATATACATTTTCTATCACAGTTCATTCCAATTTTAGTAAAATTCCATTTAACAATAAGTTCATCTATTATATCCAGTGACATTTATTCAATTCTCTATTATTACAAACTTCTCACTATGTTGAGAATAGACATATTCAATCGATTATATTTTTACGATATTTAATTATAACATGAAGAAATCTATTTTATTTTCAATCAATCAATTATTATTACAAATAATTTTTAACAATTATATCCATATATATATATATTATATTTTATTATTAAAAAATTATATTTAAATAATTATAAACATAAACTAAAGATTTATATAATGTATGCTAGCAACACGTAGTTGTTTAGACCCAACATAAAAACTAATCCATTCCGTCTAGACAAACCACAGTACAAATCGTTTATAAGGTATGTTATGATTTAGAATGTCATTAGTAAAAAAAAAAGAAAACATAAGAATCTGGTTAAGAAGAAGCCATATGTTGTAGGTGAAAGGAAAAATGCATTCTTCTTCTTATTCTTCTTCTTTTTATTTTTCTTTATTTCTAAACACGTGCAAGGGGAATAGAAAATAAAGCAAAGAAATATATATATGTATATAAGATAATTAGATAGATGAATAGATAGATAGATGGAAAAGTAGATATGCATTTCTGATTCACGTGGAAGCCAAAGAAACATTATCTCTTTCGTCCCTTTAGTTCGATTAATCGTATCATCATAGAGGGGACTTTCAAAAGAGAATAAACTTTTCAAGCTAAGATATATACATAAATACACACACACACACATATATATATATATATATATATATATATATATATATATATATTAAATCTAAGTTAGGACTAGGAGAAGGTAGACAAGGTGTAACGACAGGTTGCTCACCCCTGACCAATATCGACCGAACGTATGGGGGTACTTTGGATTAGTATTACCTTTATATCTTTCCCTTGTTACTTTACCCTCTCATTGCATCAAGTTACTATATTTATATATTACTATATGTTTGTTAGCATGTTATTACAATTTATCTTACGTAGTTAAAATTTACATTTACAAACATCACGTACGAAATATTAAATATTATAATATAAAATTTAAGGGAAGAAATAAATTTAATGTAGATAGTAATTAATGATAAATTATTAATGATAAATTAATGATAAAATATTATAAAAATTATTTAATCGTATCTATTTAAAATTATCTATGAAAGGAACTACGAATAATTGTATTAATTTAAATAGAAAGTCTCCAATAATTTTCAGCATTCTAAATTTGTAACAGACTTAAAATATCTATCTCAAGCAGATAGATATACTTTGAATATATCGTACTAATGATTACGTAGATACTTGTTACAAAGAAAAAGACAAAGATAGACAACCGGAGATAGAGATAGACAGATAGAGAAAGAGAGAGATACAGAGAGAGGAGTTGTTATTGTAAACGGAAGCAAGATGACGATGATGACGATAATAGAGAATGACGTTAATAGGAATATAAGCTCTGTATGAATGTTCGTAGGTATAACTAAGGACTAAATATAGTAGTAGTAGAATCAGTAGTAGGAGGGAGAACGACAATAGAAACTAACAGCTAGGTAGGTAGATAGGTAGCTACCTAACTAACTAACCAACCAACCAAGTAACCAAGCAAGCAAGCAGCAGGTTGCTGGTTGGCGGGAAAACGTATTGGGGGCATCGATCCTGTCGGGTCATCGCGGGGTCTCACCGTTATAATGCACCTACATGTGCAATCCTCGAACCATTGCACCTACGTGCACCCACACGACTCGATGCGCTCACCTGCGCACACGAATATCCAACAGCAGCAACAACAGCAGTAGTAGTAGCAATAGCAGTATATTGCAGCCGTTTCTATTCGTGTACACGATCACACGGCTCATGGGATATTTCATGCGGTTACTCTGTTCACATCTTTAGCTTCTATTATTCTCATATAATATCGGTCTTATCGAGAAAGTAAGAGAAAGAGAGAGAGAGAGAGAGAGAGAGGAAGATAGGTACATGTAAAGCCATATTATGATTATATCATTATAGATCGTGAACAACGTATACTTTAGACTAACACTATCAAACGATTACAACCCTCCATAACTAACTAACATCTCCTCATTTTCTTCCACACCCCCAATGCTACCCTAGAACGGGTAGATACTTTCGCCAAGTTAGATATCTCGACCTACCTATCGTGTCCTAATTTCTTAATGAACATCCACGTTTCTAGAGCAAGAGGTGTGGAACTTTTATGTTTATCATGTCGAATGATTATCCTTTATGTTTTAATACGAAATCGATTAAATTAAGAATAAAAGGTACACGATTAATTGTTTCAAATTCAGTGTTCTTTTAATTCTTTGGTTAAAATCAAGAAGCTGGAAAACATTTACATGACGGTTTTTTATAATTGAAGATTTTCATTAAGCAGTTTTGTTTATCTTTCATATATTTGTACGTATTCTATCTCATTATATCTTCTTAGGCTTTTATTCTTATCAAATTTGCGGATTAAATTTCCTTTTATTCTTCCAAGAAGTCTTTCTTTAGTAATCGAACTATCGATTGTACTTCGTTGCAGTGGAAGTAACGTGACACTGCGCTACATGAATCATCCATTTCACCCTTATTTTTACAAACGTATCCTATTAAATTACGAGTGAAAAGGACGTGGAAAACTTATTTTATTTATTATTAAACGAGTATATTCATCACATTTCGATATACGTTTCAACGACCTATTCAATTTATATTCTATTCTTTTGCTTTTCTTTATAGGATGTCACATTCATCAACCCAGCCAACGTAGTATTCGTGTATATGCTTGTAAAAGAATTAGTCGATGGTGAAGAAGCTTCCGAGAGGGAACTTCAAGCAACCGTGCTAACGTGCCTCTATTTGAGCTACAGTTACATGGGCAATGAGATTAGTTATCCTTTGAAGCCATTCCTCGTTGAGGATAGCAAGGATAAATTTTGGGATAGGTGTCTGTTGATCGTCAATCGATTGAGCTCTGAAATGTTAAGAATCAACAGCGAGCCTAATTTCTTCACCGAAATTTTCGCCGAACTGAAGGTGAGCCAAATTCATTACTTTTAAACATTCCTAATGATTTCATATATATATTATTATAAAAAATTGAAATGTTACATCAGAATGATAAGAATTTTTGTTGAATAAAATTAGGCTTGCGGAACAGACGAGCGTGGTAGCCTATCTGGAAGTGGCCTCGAACGGAGTCTCGTCGTCTCCGGAGTCGCGGTACCCACCAAGGCGGCTTGACGGAGCTACACACATCTGCGGGTGCGCATCTACCCATACGGTTGCGACGTTACGACGCTCTGACGACGGTCGTCACGACGACGAGGAGCTGCGATCGCAGCTTGACCCCTCTGCATCGACCTCGGCCTCGACCTCGACGTCGACGTTGCAACGCCATCAAGATTCTCAACAGCAACTCCAACTACCGCAACAACCACACCACCACCAGCAGCAACAACAAAAGCAACATCAGGATATAATCATTCAAGGGGGTCGTTGTCCATCGTGTGGTCAAAGAAGACGAGAGGAAATAGTTTATACGATCGAAGATTTAGATGCGATCGAAGCACCGCCATTGGAATCTACGAGAACACCACCCCCATCGGCAAGTCGTGCATGCAGCTGCGATATCCCCTCGTCTGTTACTGATGCACCGCAGACCGTTATCGAGGATGACGACGGGGCTAAAGCCGAACTTCGAAAGTATCGTAGCGTCGATGCTAGATGGGCCAACACGAGTTTCCTCTCACCGGACGACGCGATCTGGGACTTGAAGAAACACGCGAGCGAGGGTACAGAATTTCGTTGGGCACTTCATACTTCGAGTACTGACGTTGATTTGGCTAGAAAAGCCAAGTGCAGTTGTCACAATTTAACGCCCGAAGAGAAGAGACCCCATGATGCCGTGCAACGTGGTGATCTTAGAAAGCATCACAGTGCTGAGACTGACAAATGGTCGATTAAACCTGATTATTTGGCACCACCAATGCATGATCTTAGAAAACACAGTAGCGATGATACGAGGATGGCACGCGAAGCCAGATGGACGTTACAGGTACCTGAGGTTTTACCTAATCCAAAACCTAGATGTACTTGTCCTAAGGCTAAAACTTTACCACCTCCGCCGTCGCCGATCGAGCCGCCAAAGCTCGAAGTAGAACAGTCGGAAGACAGGGTAGAAGAAGAGAAACCAAAAGAAAAGGAACATACTGAAAGGAGAATGGTTTATTCTAAGTCATTAACACCCGAGGAACCAATCGCGCCGCCACAGGAGAGACCTGAATTGAAGAAACATGCAAGCGAAGGATCCAGATTAGCTAAACAAGAGAGAATCAAGGAACGACCGAAATTGGTTAGATCAGCTCACCAAACCAAAAGCATACTCAGTATAACTGGTATGTCGAAAAAATGGGAACAAAAGGAACCTATTGCTAGTCCAACCGAGGATGTTAGAAAACCTCGTTCTAAGTGGGCAATGAAGCCGCACTTTTCCTTACCAGCTGATAAAAAGGAATCTAAATGGTCGAGAGGTGATTCCGCGGATTCAGGAAAAAGTAAGAGTCTACGAGAAAGGCCAAGATACAGCATTCGCAGGAGTATGTCACCAGAACCGGATCCAAGGCAAATGACGAAATTAGAAAATAGAGTCGTACGACGTTTGATATCACCCGAAATTACGGTAACAAATGCCAAATTCGTACCGTACGAGGACGCTTCGCCGTTGCCAAACGTTGGGGTTAAAAAACGTGAACAAAAGCATATCAGCGAGATCAAATGGACACCTTACGATGGTTCACCGAGTGACGCAAGCATTGCTGGACCTATTCGAGCACCAACAATCGAATCAGAGGAATCGAAAAATTGGTCACCTTTCCACAACGTTACACCAACTCATTGTCCACCAATGGCTACCGAACAATCACGTGCCGCTGAGGAAGATTTTCGTTGGCGTTTTCTCAACCAAGTATCACCGTTCCCAATTTATCAAGGTGCTTGGAAAGACGAGTCACCTGAGAAAACACCACCGAAAAGAGCACCGAGTCCGGTAGAATCTTCGCCTGTTTGGTCACCCCAAGTACCAACCACGCCGATTAAAAGACAAAAATCTCAACTACAACAACAACAATTATCGGTACAAGCTTATTCCCCGGTACAACAGAAGAAAAGTATCATCAAACACGAACGTCGTGGAGCATCGAAAAAGAAGGCTGCCCTTCGTGCAAGATCGGAAAGTGGGTATCAATTGGAGGAAAGATTAGCACCACCACCAATCCATACGATAGTACGTGCATCCAGCGAGGAACCAAAGGGCAGACAAAGACCATTATTGCTTAGATCGAAAGCACTTCTCGAAGTACCAACAACGATGGATCCTAGCAAAAGATCGCTCAGCGAAGAAGTACCACGAATGCGATCTCGTGAATTAACACGTGGACCCAACAGGGCTAGAAGCGAAGAGGTGCCTAAATACAAAGATCCTTGGTTCTCCAATGAGGACGGTGAAGCCGAATTACGGCAATACGTCACGACGGTCTAACTTCGTTATCAATAGGCGAAAATTATTTGTTTCATTTCAATCATCCAAACCACATCTATATCCCCATAATGTTTAATCGTTTTCAAAACAAAAAAACTCGCTTCTTCTTATTTTCATTTAACGATTCTAATAAAATAAAACCTTTAAATTTGCCTTCCTTCGCCATTGAAGATTCTACGATTGAATCCTGTGATATTTGAAGGACGGTAATAACTTACGATTTATTTTTTTTTTTCTTTATCATTTTAATTGATTTTCGTTTATGATTTTTGTTTTGTTTTAACGCAAACTTGTTATGAAACCGGTCGGAAATAGAAAAGAAAAGTTTCAACGTGGGTCCTTCGAAGTTGATGTTTGAAAAGAAACAAGAAGAGAACCTAGTCGTTGGCCTACATTGGACTGCGATCGAAAATAATGAAATATAAAAAAAATGAAGGGACAAGGAAAAAGGAAATAATATGACTTGATGACGTTTACGATCCTTTCGATAAATCCAAAATAGGAGTTGCGTAAAAAATAAAATAAACTTACTTAAAAATACTTCTAACAGGACTAAGAGGGAAGTAGAAGGAAGAGGAGGGGTCAAGTATCGACGAAAAATCTATCGTCTATCAATATTATCGTTAACAATTAATATAACGCAAATACATACGAGACATGACGCGAGTATTTATTCGATAAAAAAGAAAAAAGATAAAAACATGAAGAACATTGTTGACATTTTTCGATAAAAAAAATACGAAAAAAATTCTTTTTTCCGCGATCGAGATTGTCGTCGTTGTCGTTTTATGTCGTCGAATTTAATTAAAAATACAATATATCAATAACGACGATTTGCATTAACAATAAGAAGAAGAAAAAGAAGAAGCAGCAGACTAAGATAAAAAAAAAAAGCATTAGAAAGAAATAGAAATAATGATGAATAAAGAAAATATAAAAAGAAAAAGAATAAGAAAATAAAAGAAAAAGAATACGCGATATATAGTTATCCAAAAAAAAAAAGAAAAAAAAACATTTCAAGTATAAAACGCTGTGAACGATTTAAATGAAAAAAGAAAGAAGAAAAAGAAAAAAAAAGAAAAAACACAAAAATCGAAAGGGGAAAAAAGAGGAGAGAGAAAAGAATATAGAAAACTCTAATACAAAATAATAAGAATAATTATAATAATAATAATAATTAATATTAATAATAATATTATTTAATAATAATAATAATGATATTAATAATAATGATGATGATGATAATGACGTTGATGGTGAGAAAAAAAAAATAAAAAGAACGAAAGAAAAAAGAAAGATAAGCGTGCATTTCACGATAAAAAGAAAAGAAGAAGAAGATGATACAAAGGAGAAGGGAAAAAATTCAAATACGGGACAATAGATCGTAAGCATTAGTTGTAAAACATTTTGCGTGTAAAAAAAGAGAAAGAGAGAGAGAGAGAAAAAGAGTGTGAATTACGATAAAAAGATGTGGGGGAGGGGGAATGATGACGACAAGAAAAAAGGGATGAAGAAGAAGAAAAATGACGACTAAAGTGAGAAAAATGAGGGAAGGGAAAATAAAAGAAGAACGAAAAAATAGGGCTGTAGGTATATAGAAAAGAGGTATATGTTATCTATATATATACACCTCTTGGCGAATCGAGTTAATACGATATACAATTAATATGCGAGAATTTAGTTATAAATAATATCGGTAAATACGCTCGAATTAGCCAATAACGGTAAAGACGAAAAAGGGTGGCAAGCTGAAGAAGAGGAGGAGGAAGAGGAGAAGAAAAGGATATATGAAAAGGGAGAGAGAAAGAGAGAGAGAGAGAAAATTAATAAATAATAATAAGTAAATAAATGAATAAATAAATAAAAAAAGGAAAAAAGAAAAAATGATGAAGAAAAGGGATAAAAAGGTTCGAAGAAGAAGAAGAAGAAGGGAAGAAAGAAAAAAAAAGGGAGCGAATATAAACGGGTTGCCCTGGTCGACCCGACCGCTCGATGTTCGACGAGGGTCAACCTGCTTGTTTCTTTTTATTCGCGAATAAATAATTAATCGTCAATACGAACGACGAATTCATTTCAAAGATTAAATAGTGAGTGTGTGTGTGTGTGTGTGTGTGTGTGTGTGCGTGAGAGAGAGAGAGAGAGAGAGTATATATATTATATATATATATATATATATATATTATTAAATAATGATTTCCGTACTCAATGCAATGGGATTTACGAATCCCACAGTTCTCGGTTGATTCAAAAAAAAAACTAAAGAAAAAAAAAATGTAACATAAAGAGAACAGAGAGGGAGATAGAAAAAGAAAATCTCGTTGCGTATGACGATGCGTAATTAATTGGTTTTTCTGTTCTTTCGCGACGAGTCAAAGAACATTTATCGGCCGTTTATTATTGTGTCTTTTTTAATTACTCAATTTATATATATATATATATATATATATTCATATAAATATTTATGTTTTTTTTTATTTAAGAATAAATTAAATACATTACGTTCTAAAAAAAAATAAAAAAGAAAAAATATTTAAATAATAATTTATAAATAAAAATATAGGAATGAACGGCTGAATTAAGTTCGATGACTCGTTTGTGCCGGCGAGTGCAATATGAATTAGGATTACATAAAAGTCATTTGAATTATTAAGACATTATTCTAACGTATGGTAAGAAAACGACACATAAAAAGAAGATAAACAATGAAATGAAAAACCAAAAGGGAGAATAGATGTTTGACTAATTTGTATGTTGAATCGTTCACATTTTAAAGAGTCAAACGTGAAATCCTTTACTTTAATGATGTCGTTTAAAATTAGCAAATGGAACTATTATCCTTGAAAATACCGTACGACGTTACTTTTCGATTAATCGGTATTTTAAAAGGAAGAAAGGAGAAAGAGAAATAGAAAAAGAAAAATAAAAATGGACTTTATTAGCTGCGTTATATTTCTCAAATATAAATTCGATCACAGACTGCATCAGTATTTCTCGCATAATATAGTTTATCGCGCGATTTATTGCGTTGCAAATTTAGTCGAGAAACTCTCGAGTACCGTATACATAATACTCTTTTCATAAACAAACACTAATTACTATAAACATAACGTATAAACACATATATACATACATATATATATATATATATATATATATATATATATATATATATATATATATATATATGTATATGTATGTGAATATAATTTTGTATCATATTTTATTTTTTAATTTTAATTTAAAAGAAAAGTTTGTTTTTATTTCATTTTCTCTGCTCATTCTCATACGTTTTTGATATTACATTATCGATATTATTCAATATTATTAATCAGTAAATTAGCATATATAATTAATATAATTACAAATTGTTTTTAACAAAGAATTCATTTTAAAAAAGAAGAGAAAAAAATAGAGAAAGAGAAAGAGGGAGGTGTATCGTTTTAACGAAGAGAATGATTTAAAAAAAGAGCAAAAAATAATATTAAATATTTAACACAAGAAAGATTAAAGGAACATCGCGAACGTTTGATGAGATTGATTTAAATCATTTTAATAATAATAATAATAATAATATTAAATGAACGCGTGCGTGAATAATAATAGAAAAGTAAATAAAATAAAATAAAATAAAGTAAAATAAAATAAAACGATATTACGAGACTGAAACGCATTCGTGCGTTGTCACGTGCCATATATATATTATATATATATATTAATACATATATAAATACATAATTAAATATATACATACATATATATACTTACGTACGTATATGTCGTGTATCAATTCTGTACACATTAAAACGGATAATCGATAAAATCATTCGTTTAGAATTATAAATCTTAAGGCTTCGTTCCTGAAAGACTTTACACGAACAATTAAAAAATTCATCGAGAAAAAAGTCGACGATGAAAAATATTTAACAACAATAAAAAATGGAAAGAACTTTCGACTTATTCCCACATTCTTAGAAAAAAAAAAAACTATATAAAATATGATTCGCTCGCGAAATAGAAATGATTGGAAAGAAGGGAAAGAAAATAGAAAAATACGAGTCGTTTTTTTATTCAGTTCTCTTACTCTATCCCTCTTTCTTTCTCTCCCTCTCACACTTTTTCTTTTTCTCTTGCTCTTGTGCTGTGAAATTTATATTTTAAATATATTGGTAAGACCCGTATTGATGAATTGTGACAAAAAATTATACTATACGGAAAGAAATTAAAAGAGAAAGAGAGAGAAAGAAAAAGATAAGGGAAAGATAAGGGAAAGATAAGAATAAATTATCCAAGGGTGTGATTATTAATCTTGGACTATTCACGATCATCGATTTAAAGATGAAAATAATTCTACGAAATATTCGATGATTCTACGTTGCAATAAAACGATTTAAAAAGTTCACATGTATCTACGATGTGTACAAAATGTTTCAATGATCGTATATCATTGGCTCGTTGAATCTTTCATTGACGAACTTCTTCGTAGAATTATGATTAATTTTAAATTGATAATTGAAATTGAAATATTGCTCGGAATTCATTGACAAGCGAATAGAAATTTAAAAAAAAATCGATTCTAATTTAGTATTAGAAAGTAAACTTAATTATTATTTAATTGTTGTATTAATTTCGTTTCTTTCCCTCCATTGCCAAATTCATTAATTAACGCAATTTTTGTCAAAAACAATCGTGCGTGAGTATTCATCCAATCTAAAATAAATTACACGTCGTCGTTCTTTCTGCAAAAATCTAAATGATGCTCTTTGTTTAGACGATACCACCCACTAACCACCCATTACCGTCATTTAAAAAGAAAAAAGGAAACAAAAAAGAATTATACGAGAATCTTTAAATTCTCTCAAATTTCTAATAAGATAAATCTCTATTTGTTAAATTCCTTTGAACGTAATTAGAAGAAATCAGCAATTTAGCAAAAATGCAGCTTAGATTGAGTAAAGTGTTATCGTTAGTTGTGTTCCCAAATGATTAGCATTAATTGTTGTCAATTAATATCATTCGAAAAATTAACGATTCATTTTTCAATTAGAATCGTATTTAACCTCTGTCTCTCTCTTTCTTTCTCCCTTTTTCGAATTTTTTTCTCATTCTCTCTCTCTCTCTCTCTCTCTCTCTCTCTCTCTCTCTCTTTCTCTCTCTGTCTCTCCCTTTCTCTTTTGCACTTTGTGTCTATCTTTTTTTTACTCAAGAAAACAATTTTATAAAATAATTATCGATTATTATCGATAAGAACTGATTAATGTAATATAAAAAACCAAATGTTTCCTATTTTCTTCCTTGCATTTCGCATTTTATTTAATCTAATTATCTGTCTTCTTTTTTATCAATGATTTTTAAAAGATAGAAAAAGAGAGAGAAAGAAAGAATGAGGAACAAATAAGATGATATAAATTCTTATCTTTTATCTAAATTATTTCATTTTGCTTATCTTATTATTATTAGATGCTGTATAATGAAAGTGTTTCTTCTATCTATATTCTTCACATACATTCACATACAAACATACATGAACACACACATACAAACAACACATAGACACACGAACTATAGTTTCCTTCTTCGTAGTGCACACAATTTAATTCAGGCGTAATATATCGCGTATTGTATATTACATACATAAACATAAATAATGATTATAATTATTCGCGTATTTTAATCTCCGATAAAGACGCAGCTCTATACGTTTTATTATCTTACGAGAACGATGGTTCCAAGATTAATTAAAAATAGGCCGCGTTTTAATCATTACGCGTAATATTTGTAATAAGAACAGATTCGGCACGTTAAGATGCTAACAATATTAAAAATTGTATCTGTGCTGCCATTAGCATTAAAAAATGAGAGAAAGAGAGAGAGAGAGTGAAAATAAGAATGTGTGTGTGAGATTAAAAAAAAAAAAAAAGAACCATGAAAAAGAAATAGAAAGAGATAGAAAGAGAGAGAGAAAGAGAGTGAGAGTGAGAATAAGAATAAGAAAAAAGGAAGTGAATAATGAAATAATTGAAAAGCCAAAGTATATAATTAAACAACAAGATCCCCCTTCTACATTTACAAGCACTCATACGATCGCGGAAACACACACACACATATACATATATATATATACACAGAAATTAACTTTCAAATCATCCTTATTAAAATACATACCAAATACGATCAACACACGCGCACACATCCACATGTATACACACATATACATATTAACACAAAAGCGCACGCAGCATAAATTACGTACCCGAGATGTAATCGTGTAAAAGCCTTTAAATCCTAAGCAAGGAAACAAAAATACTTCGTTTCACGGTACAAGCATGATTTTAGGAAATCCTTCATGTTGAATAATTATTAATTAGCATTCTCATTCCATATATCGTGTAATCGAGATATCGAGCGGTCGCGAACAGTACGTATTTAGTGGTTAAAAGAAATGATAAGAAGAAAAAGAAGAGAAAGAAAAAGAGAAAAAGAAGATAAAACAAACTAATAAGAAATGAATAAACCAGAAATAAGAGAAGACAAGTGTGGACCTACACAAAAGTTATGGTTCTCTTTAGCGTGTTAATTTAATCGAATGTGATCGATTTGTTAATTAAAATTGTCATGTTTTTCTTTTTTACATTGTGATTTTTAATGTTAAACATTATCGTCATTTGTCAGTTATTGCTTAATATTATTGTGATTGTATTTATTATTATTATTATTATTATTATTATTATTATTATTATTATTATTATTATTGATTATTGATTATAATTGTTTATTACTGATATAATTATTATTAGTTATTAACAACGTTATTGTCTTCGATCATAAACATTGAACAAATCTCTTGTTTCTAGTCAAAATCTTCTAGTCTCATTATAATTCCATTGATACATACGATCCCATATGCGATTGAAACATGCGTAACATACACGATTTTTGCGATATAGAAAGAAAGAAACAGAGAGAGAGAGAGAGAGAGAGCGATGCATTACCCGTACAAGAAATACAGTATACAATCCGTAAATATGAGGTAAATGTTGATTTGTTTAAATAAATGTAAGTTTGAAAATCCATCGTGAGTTTGTATATTCGCGCCAAATCGTTTCCGATTGGCCCATGTCAAAAAAACAAAATATTTTTTTAAAACTCGTACCAAACGTTCTATCGAATTATTTTCTTTCAATTCTATAAAAAAAAAAAATGAATTAAAGTAAAAAAAATAATTGATAAATATAATATTATTTATTATTTTTCAAAAGATAGTAGTCGATAAGGTAGGAAATAATTCTATCAAAAGTTTGATGCGCATGTGCAGTTGAGAACAGTAAATCATTAAAATGGCCGATCTCAATAAAGAGTTAAATGAGTATCTTTTAAAAAGTAAAAATGACGAACAATGTAAAATATCCATGGAGGCAGATTCCTCACAGGATTTTATAAAATTGCATGGAATAACACATACAAATAGCGTAAAACAAACATGGTATAATAGACTCGGAGAAGAATATTTTTGTAGTATGGTAAAAAGCTTCACTAATATAACCTTGACATCTCGATTGAAATATTTTTCATATCAGTATAATTTAGTGTTTTTATTATTATTAATATTTAATATTTTACTATTTCTTTATTCCCTTGATTTTTCTTCTTAGACAAGTAAACAAAGAATCGCAGCCTTTGCATTATGCTGTTTCTCGGGATTTTTGTGCTTATTATTATCTGCATGTTATTTGCCTGTACTTCTTATACATCAAAGAAAATTTGTCGGATTATATACCTTAGGAAGTATATTACTGTTATTAAGGTAGGTATTAAATATTATTAATTTAATTATTATTTTATAAATTATCAAAATGTATCAATATTATGAAATAATTTGTCATTTACAGTTTGTGCTTTCTGTGGGGCCCGCGTAATTATATACAGTCTTTACTTGCGCCTAAAAGAAGATACTATGCGCTATTTTATATTGCAATGTTGATAACTACATTGTATTGTACGATCTGTTTAAAATCATTGGTGTTGACATCATTGTGCTGCTTGTTAGAATCCATTGCTCTGGTTTCATTTCTTATATCGAGTATGCCAGGTGGAACTGCTAGCCTATCTTTGGCCAGCAAACTTTGTAGCAGAATGTGCAAATCATCAATTGGTTCTACACTCTCTATATGATATCATATCTTAGGTACTGAGTATTACTCATTTATAATATTAAGAAATGTTTATTTTTGTAGTATTATAATTATAATATTAACAAATTTTTGTACAAAGCATTTGAATCTATAGTTTTCAAAGACTGTTTAATCTTATTCTATCATTGTTAACGCATATCTATGCATCTGTTTGTACATATTACATTAATACATTCATTTTCATATACACATTCCTCTGTAAGTTATTTTCTAAGAAAATTAATGAATTTTAATATTTTTTGTTTACGATAAAACTATTATTGTACAAAATCAATATTCGTATAAATAATTACAGAAATTATCATTAGTTTTATAACTAATTAATCTTATTTATTTTTGGTCTTTTTTTCTTAGGGGCTTTAGTAGCTTTCGTCCTATTACTATTCCCTCGCAATTGTAATATTTTCAAGGGTAGATACGTAGTATTGTCATTATTAGATTTATCCTTTTCAGAGGGAGGGCAAAAATATCTTGTATACTTCTGTAATCTTGGTATTTCAATACCATTTAAATTAACATCATTAAGAGAAATAAATTCAGAGGTTTCGTGATCAATATTCTTAGTATCATCACAAATAACATTAGGCGGAATAAACACCCTTTCTTTACACGAAGATCTATATTTATAAATACTTTCCATTGAAGTAAATTCTTCATTGACCCTAAAAGTACTTTCTTTTTTAGTTACACTATCATTTACTTTATCGTTCTCAATTATTGTACAATCTAAAGTCATTTCCGTATCCATATCTGTAAATAGTGTTTGTAATGATCTCTTCGGTGCAGGATAATTTTTAGAGATATCCAATACAATATCGTACAACTTATAAAAATGATGATCCGAAGATAACACTATTTTCTATAACCAAACATACATAGAATCAAAATAAAATAAATGAATTTTGTCAATTAAATGTAAAAATATCATACTTTCAAACCAAGTGCTGTAGATGAAAATCCAATAGTCTCTAACGTAAGAACTTTTAAAGATGGTACAAGGAGAAATGGTATTTCTTTTCTTTGTGCCATCATGACAATATGCTTTATTAAAAGTGGCGGTTCCACATTAGCATCCAATAAAACACAACATACTGCATCCTTTTCTAATGAGCGTGTAACAGTATTTACACCAAGGACTACTGAATTTCTAAATAAATGAAAAAAAAACAAGACAAATTATTTAAAATAAATGTTGGTGTTAAGGTTGCATTAAGGTTTAATGTTAAATTTATACAAAAAAAAAAAAAAAAACTTACAACATATCCCTTTTGAAGAATGGTTCATCACTAACTTTTTGCTCTTCTTTTGATTCATTTTCTATACATCTCCTTTTTTTACTTGGTCTTTTTAACACGGGAAGTAATCTATAAAATATTGACATAATTTATTTAATTATGAATACACAAACAAACTTCAATGTATCAACTTACTCTTTTAGTATAGAATTTAATTTCACTTTATCTTCTTCTTTTACCACAGGCCTATTAATAGAATAAAAATAAAAGAACATTTTTAAGTGCTATCTCTCTTATAAAGTTAGAGATATTTTATGATAAACAAAAAAAAATAAAAAAAAGTAAACAATGTACCAATAATTATCGTGTGGTTGAGCTAGAACATTACGCAATTTGTTTGATGATCGTTTCCCTGACAAACTTTGTCTCTGTTGCTGTTTTGTCAACACCGGTGTATCCATGATAAAAAAAACTTATTATTACTGTATTTAAAAGAAATCGATAAATCTTGTTGATCTCAGAATCATGGAAGATACAAAAACTAAGTAATGGAGTGTAATATTTAGGTTAGGTGTATACAATGTGCATCTGGTGGCAGATTTAGGAAACAATATTGGATAAAAATATTTCGTAATTATTTTTAATAATAAACTTAAATACACATTTTAATTTTTTAATTATTTTTATATAATAATCTTAAATATATATTAGTCTTTAAATCATTTTTTTTTTAGTATATTAAATTTAAATTACTATAATTATAATGTTGAATTTATATTTATTCTCTTATTATTAATATTTTTATTTTTAATATTAACAATAATGGTAAATAATATTTAGTGAAATGTGAGGTTAGGTATTTAAAAGAAAAAGTCAATGTTAAAAATAATGTGAAACAAATAACCACAATATTTCACATTAACTTGGTATTTATAATATTATCAGCTAATAAACAATTCATTCGTAATATGTTTGGTGATAATGGTAAATGTTTTGATGATAATTATGATGAGATATTTCATATCTTGTTTGTTTCACAAGTTCTATGATCACGTCTAATGTAATTTTTAGTTTCTGGTTGACGAATGAGCTCTCGTGACCGTATACGAGGGAGAATATTTTAAATTAATCTTTTTTAAGTATAGATTGGACATTGTTATATATATATTTATATACATATTTTTTGTGTGAAAAGAATTTCATTATTATTTTATTGATATTTAAGAAAATCAATATAAATTGTTATATTTGTTAAACGTATTTTGTAGGTAATGTAAATAAGTGTTTTTTAAATATTATTTTATTATATACTGTTATTGTAATAACTATAACGATAAGAAATCTATATTTTGTTTTATATTGATACTTACGAAAAATTGTTTATTAATTAATAGAATTTATTGCTCCAAAAATAACCTAAGGTGATGGGAGAAAGACAATCTAGACAATCTAACGATTGGCGACCTTTTGTTTATGGAGGCCTTGCTTCTATCGTTGCAGAGTTAGGTAAGTTTATTCGAATTGACATAACTATTTTATTAATAAACTTTAATTATTCATAATTAGTCTTGTCTTAATATTTATGTCTATTTTTTTTCTAGGTACTTTTCCTTTAGATACAACAAAAACACGTTTACAAGTGCAAGGTCAAAAATTAGATAGAAAGCATGCACATTTAAAGTATTCTGGTATGACTAATGCTTTATTTCAAATATCTAAAGAAGAAGGATTCCGAGCTTTATATTCTGGGTATTTTATTTTTATTAAGTCTATAGAAGTATTAGTTTTTTGTTGCTTGTTATATTATTATTTACTTTTGATTTAAATTTCATAGGATTAGTTCTGCTATTCTTAGACAAGCTACATATGGAACAATAAAGTTTGGAACATATTATTCGTTGCAAGAAATTGCTACAAAAAAATGGGGAACAGATGACGCAGTACTTATTAATATTATATGTGCAGCGTTAGCTGGTGCAATATCAAGTGCTATAGCTAATCCTACCGATGTGATAAAAGTTCGTATGCAAGTAACAGGTATCGATGCTAATTTATCCTTAATGAGTTGCTTCCAAGATGTTTATCAACATGAAGGCATACGTGGCTTATGGAGGGTAATGTATACAATTCTAATCAAAATATAAACTTTGTTTATACAAATGAAATGAAGTTAATAGTTCTATGTAGTAACTGAATTCCATTGCAAATAATTACATTTTTCTAATATTCTTACAGGGTGTAGGGCCAACTGCTCAAAGAGCGGCTATTATCGCGGCAGTAGAATTACCTATTTATGACTTTAGTAAGAGTAAATTTATGGAATTTCTTGGGGACAGCGTTAGTAACCATTTTGTGTAAGTCTCAAATTAAAACATTTGACAGCAAAACAAAATTTAATACTTTATGTGTGCATCGGCACAAATTATAATGTTTTAGAAAGATTTTTTATAATGACTATTGCAATATTCCAATCTATTATGGTACAATAATTTGATTTCTTTTAATTCTGAAAATAATTTGTAATAATTGTAATTTATCACTTTTACATTATATTTATATATAAGCATATTGTACATTGTAATACATTGTATTACATAATGCGTGTTGTACAATGTGTATTACTGATACTAATTGTATCTGCTTAACCCTTATCCAAGCAAATTTTGTACTCTTCTTCATATAGCAAAAAGATCAGTGATTTCTATTTTGCTATAAATTATATTTCAATTTAATAATAATTAGCTTTTTCAAAATGTGTATGAACGAAAAATCTCGTATAATACATGATGTCATGTGAAAATATATTCTATCATCTTAAAGGTGTGCCTTCCTTATTAATATTTTGTTTCGATGTGCATTTTGTTGATATGCTTTATTTTATATAACATTTTGTTAGTCATATATTATTTTATATTTTTTAATGCATTTGTTAAAATGACAACAATTGACATTAATTGTCATTAATAACATAATAATAATAATACTTTATAACTCAAAACTTTATTTAGGTTTTAGCTATGGATTTCATCATTTTACATGATGGAGTAATATCTAATGTTTGTATTAAAAGAGAAAAAAAAGGAACAATCATTTCCTAAAATATCAACATTTTATTTCCAGGTCCATACTCATTATCTTACACATGGGCGCAAGCAGTACATGGATGATATTGAGATGACCTCAGAGACTTAATACTAAAGTGTTCAGCACTCCGTGTTGAGTATAGGTTTATTGACACGTTCCTGCAAACGTTCTGCAACAAGAACCTTTTTTGGTTAGCAATTTATGCATCCCCCGAGCTTTAGAAAATCCATTTACTAATTGCTAAACAGTGCATTATTTAAACATCAATATATATATATTATTATTACAACTAGTCATCGCAACGGAGAAAAAATCCTCTTATTTTTCTGTTTGTTTTCCTTAACTAGTATTGTTTTATTTTTTTTTATTTTGATCCCAAAATGCATTAATCGATACTAACAAATTATATTGTATGCTTTCCTATAATAATCATACATCAGCACAGACATCATATATTTTAATACAAATTCATGCATAATGCCTGGATAAGGGTTCTTATTCTTCTTGTAATATACAACATTGACAATATGTGTTTTATAGAAATATGAATAATGTTAATTATTAGTACATTCTTCTCTTATAACTATTCACAAAACGAAAATTCAATCTTCGTAGTTGTTAAATTAAAATTTTCTTTTTATTTCACTATTCGATACTTTACAATAAAATTATAAATTATTTAATAACCGAGCCTGCAAACAAAAAACGATTGAAGAGAATTAACAAACTGATATAATTTAGATTCCAATTTATATTTCAGATCTAGTTTTATCGCCAGTATGGGAAGTGCAGTCGCTTCTACTCCCATAGATGTTGTACGTGTAAGTAATTGTATAATCATAAGATCAAAGATTAATTTTATCTCTTATACAAATTTAATTTGCATCAACGTTTTAATTTTAGACACGATTGATGAATCAAAGAAGAGTATCATCTTATAATGGCAAGTTACCACCTCATATTTATAATGGAAGTATGGATTGTTTCATTCAGGTATCGGTAATTGTTGATAACAATTTTCATTTTTTCTTAAATTAAAACAAATTTATATTCTATACTTCAAACTTTCAGACCATAAAAAATGAAGGATTTTTTGCATTGTATAAAGGATTTATACCAACATGGTTTAGAATGGGTCCATGGAACATTATATTCTTTATTACTTACGAACAATTGAAACAACTTTAATCATTAATAGCTTATTTTAGAAAAGAAAAACGTCTAAGTATTGACCCTATGCTTTAAAAGAGTTAACAGTATATATAGAAACTGGATTAGTGTATTTTTGTTGTTGCATTTAGCGTTAAGATTCTTTTTTTAAAATTAACTTATCTTCGTGTCTTCTTGTTATAAAGTTAATAGAAATTAATGTACAGATTACTCCTTAAATGATGACATTGTAAAAAGTATACAACATAATTTTTTTTTATCAACGAAAGCAGAATTCTTTAAAGTACAGAAAACGACAAATCTAAAAGTTTGCATTCGATCTTAAATTTGCATTTCATTGTTACAACAAAAAGAAAAAACAAAGAAAGAAAAAGTACATACAATGTGTCTAGTATACTTTAGAAACGATATATATTTTTCTCAATAAAAATAAACTGTTTAAAAGAAATGTTTTGAAAGTATATTTAAAAAAATAATGATTGATATTAAATATTCTATAAAAACAAAAGAATTGCAAAAACATAACGAAATAATCTCTTATTAAAAAAATTCTATATCTAGTCAAATGAAAAATTTTCAAATCCAAAACTGCTAAGTATTATAAAAATAATTCAGATTTTAAAAGCGATAATGAAAAATATGTTAAAGCACGCGTAGAGTATATATATAAAAATATAAATTGAATATTTATATTTTTCTGAGGGATCTTATACGGTATTATATATGTAGATAGATAATACATATTATCGTCAAAAAATAAGTAATTTTATTTACTTTATAATATAAAATCATCATTTTAGGATACTCATAAAAAGATCTGTTGCACACATGTAACTATTATTTAAAATATAAATGTTCACAAATAATCGATACAAATTTTTAAACATCCTCCTGCAGTTTATTTACACTTTTTTTTTACAAAATAAACAAAAAGAAGAAGGATTCTTATTTTTTTTAAACAGTATATTTAATTTTATCTTTTAATATAAATATATACATATATATATTTAAAACGTTTCTTGAATTTCAACAAAATAATTAATCTTTATTAAATATATTTGCGTATAAAGATATATTAATAATAATAAAATAATAAAGTAAAGAATACTTGAAATATATTTAAACTTATCTTTCAAAAAAAATTACATTTTTTCTCTTTTTCTTTTTTACTTTTTTTTATTTGCAATATTTATAATAGGCAAATTACTCATCACTCCTTTTTACATTCCCAAACTAAAACTTTTCTATCTTTTCCACCTGTTATAACCATATTATTGTTAGTAGTTATCGCTATTGTGAAAATTGGTCCTGAAACAGTTAAAAAAAATAACCAATTAATTATATTATTAAATATATTTAATTAATTAATTAATAGCTTTTAAAAGTTGTATGTAGTAATAAATTATATAATACCGTCATGACAATGGATTTTTGATAGAAAAACAGCTTCTGGAAAATTCCATAAACTGACATTTCCAGCACTGTCTCCTATTAACAATAACATTCTGATCCATTTCAATGATAGCGCTTCGTGTTCCAAAGTTGTATGATAAATCTGTGTACTTGTTTGAATATCAACGATGTTCAATGCTCGATCTTCTCCGCAAGTAACAATGCTCTTGCATTCAGGATCAAACGTCATTGCATTTACTTTTCCAGTGTGACCTTTTAATGAAATAAAATTCTAGTAATTAATTTCACATTTTTAAATTTCATTTACAATTAGAAGTAAACGTAAAAATAATATTACTTTTAACGGTAAATTGTAAACTATAATTCTCCATACTCCACAAAAATAATTCTCCATCTTCTGTACCAGATACTAATAACATTTCATTGCTATAAATATATTAAAATTAATTTCAATTTCAATTTAAGAATCATAAGGAATTTAAAAATTTTAAATGACGAATAAAAGAATTACCTGGATATGTCCATGCACGTTATTTTTGAATCATGATCTAGTTGAGCTATAAAATATTCTGATGGTTTAATTTTTGATCCAGAAACGTAACTCTGCCAAACCTTGGCAGTACAATCCCACGATCCAGAAATAACAATTTGTCGTGAAGGACTCCATGCCAAACAAGAAATTGCATCTTCATGAGCTCGTAATGTATCAATCGTTTTACCAAATTCTATATCATAAAATATTCTGAAAACAAAAACGTCGATTAACTGTTATTAAATAATAGCGTTAAGTTAGATGCAATATTTTCATTATTATAGAATTAGATATTTATTTACAGTGAATTGTCCCATGATCCAACAACGAGTATATTATGAGACGATGCTGTATAATATGATATACAGGATGAAAGTGGCAGAGATGATAAAGGAACACTTCGTGTTGGTTTTTTGTCTTTAATGGAATATAATTTAAACATACCATCATGACCTACAGATAATATTTCATCATATGTTCCTTTATTAATTACTATAATACAGCTTACTCCGTCCTTATGTGATTGAAATGTTAGAAATTCGGATAGATTTATCGAACTTTTTGTGAGAGACTTGTCATCTGAAAAACGATTTAAAAAATAAAATAATATTAACAATAATTGAATATAATTCAAAGGATAGAAGGCATACCCGTGTCTGTCGTGTTTGAAATAGTTAACATTGAAATATGTAACGCATCTATAACCGGTACTAATCTTTTAGGATGAGGTAGAGTAAAAATTTGTTTAGGAATTTGTCCAAATTCCATTATTTGTACTTCATATCCGTGTCGATCATTAATATCTCGAATCGTATCTAAATCAACTGCACCCTCGTAACACAGGTGAAAAAATACTAAAAATGTATATACGTATAATAAATGTACAAAACCACGTTAACAAAAAAGAACTAACATTAGATATTATTACCATTATCAGCTTTTATTGCTTCAATTCCTTTTTGCTTGTATCCAAAGATCAAATCTATCCAATGATTTAAATTCTTTGAAACGTAATCGCTTTCTAAAGCATTTCTTAATTTCTGGATAAAATCTGAAGGTCCTGAAATCGATAGAGTTAAAAAAAAAAAAATTATTAAATTAAAATATTTTAATAAGTAAAAATAAAAAAAAAATAAAAGTATACATCAAATCCCTAACAGTTTGTAGAAAAGTATGCACATAGGAAATATTTTACCTTCTGCCCAAGGTGGCAGCTGCACATCACCGATTTTAGTACCATCGTGTCGATAACCAAAATCAATGCCATAACTATTTACTAAAAAATCACCACCATTGTTTGTGTCATAAAATTCTGGGATCAATTCTTTAAAGTCAGACATGTTCACCAAAACATTTTTCCATACGTCAGCTACACTGTTAGGTATTTTATTTGCAAGAGAGTGAAACAAAAAATCGATTCTGCATTCTGGTATTAAAAGTATGAGTCTGATATTAAAGGCAAGTACAATGAAATACTATTTTGTTAATACGCAACGCTATTCAATTTTCTAGTCTTATATCACAAATAAATTATCAGCGTTAAATTAAATACAAAATATTTTTCATTATAATTTGCATATAAAGAGAGAAAGAGAGATAGAGAGAGAGAGAGAGAGAGAGAGAGAGAGAGAAAGGAGAAAGAAAAATAGGGGAGGAATATAATTAGGTTTGTAATAATACCTGTTAAACATTCTATCAGGATGATCAAATCTTCCATTTTGAAGACAAAGCATATATTGAGGATACTTTCTCACTAGGTAAAATAATACAAAACCCGGCGTACTGTAATGAGATCCGTAAAGAAATTTTTGTTCTGCCATTTCTGAGTAACGTTCCTATACATAAAATAATATATAATCATAAGATACTATAATAATAATTTTTTATTAATGATTTTTACCTTCAATCGTTCTAATCTAGTAGGTTCAAGAGCGCCGATAGGTTTAGAAAGATCTCTATAAATATCAGGGTTGTTTAAATCCAATGTTGCTGATGTGTAATCTTTTAGTATCCATGGTATTACAGGATATTGAGTCAAATCATGGAAAGTTCTGTCTGCCAAACTAAAACATAAGTTTTAATTAATTAATAATATTTATTATTTTAATTTTCATGTATCTTTACCTATTAATATACAAAAGGTAATCATAATTTGACAGAGAGCCATTTTGCCATCTCATCGTCATTTGATTTTGAGGAACAGTTTCCAGAGATACAGCAGATTGATCTAATAATTTTTTATAAAGTTCATCTCTATCATTTTGATTATTTAAAGAAAGGTACAAGTATTCGATTTTGCTATCAGCTTGCTTCTGCCATTTTATTTCAAGGCCCTGTTAACAATAATAATAATTATTATTATTAGATAAATAAATAATGTAAATGTGTTATAATTGGTAATTCTGATACGTACGACTTGTCTCAAAAGAAATCTTCTTTGAATAATACTACTTATATCTTTCAATTGTATTTTTAAAACAGGATGCTAAAAAAAAATAGTTTAATTAGTTATAGAATTTTATAATATTATAAAATTTCATGATATTATATATTATAAGATTTCATGATTCATATGAATGAACATACAAATGTACGAACCTACCTGATCCATATTATTATAAGGTTGAAAATATAATCTAGATGTAGTTAATAATACCTTGCCTGGATTAATAACGAGTGGTAATACTTTATTAGCTTGAATTTCTAACACAACCGTTTCATACAAATCTTCTAACCAAGATGTATCGAAGGATACACGAGATTGTCTGGAGTGAACTATAGTCATTATCTTATAAAAAGAAAGAGTTGTTATAATGCAAAAAAAAACGTAGTAATGAACACATATTATATTTAAAAATGATATACCATTGCGTTTTGTTCAGCCGTTGGCAAAGTAGCAGCACGATGCAATTGCAATATTTGAGGAAGACAATTTTCTACTTTAGCATAATTGAAACAAAATTGAAACATTGCATTTTTATGGATAAATTTATATGGGGCAAGAACATTTTTCTCTAACATCTCCACGTACTGTTTACATTTAATATTTAACATATTAGTGGGTCTGAAAAATTGTTATGCATCAGTAATTAATAAAAATTAATAATATTGCATTGAAGAAATCTAGATAACATTGAAAAATTATGCTTACGTTTCTATATTATCTTCTGAATTATCCTGCTCAACAGTTGTGATTTCTTTAAGTTGTATTTTGATCAAAGGTTGAATAAAATCTTTATTAACAAAAACTAAAGACTTGGAACAAAGTTTCAATCTTCCGTCAATCCATTCTTTTTGTTTTGGAAAAGAAGATTTTACCGCTCTCATCTGTACACTATAATCTTCAAAAAATATTTCTCCAGGCTCTAACAAGAGCATAGTAAATCTATAAAAAAAAAAAAAAAAGAGAGAAAGGAATAATTTTTTGTGCATATTTTGCAGGCTAGTTTGACATTATGAGTATTATAAATCTTAATAAATCCTGATAAACAATACTACACATATTGAGTGCACAATGAATTATTTAATATTTTTATTATTAACAAACGTATACGAAAGGTGCAAATTATATTAGGAATAATAATCGGCTTACCTTTCTTTTTCCATTATTATGTATTTATAAGTATAAAAGGATTTCCATTTACATATCACAATCGTTTCTTCTTCTTTTCCTATTGTCTAGCTTGTAACAATAATTATTTACGTACTTTCATTTTGAACTAATATGTTTAATTTTAATAATTGAATGGCGCTAATTTTTATTTTAAAACAAGTAACTATCACATCAGTATGAATTATGAATCATCTGAAAGTTTACTTCTTCTATAGTTCAATGATATTTCATGGTTACAGTAATGTATACCTATTGTAATCTGCCATTACATTAATCAAGGAGTTTCTTTTCTTTCCTTTTTTTCAGAGTTTTTATATTATTTATTATAATTAGTATAATGCAAAATCTAATTTATAAATTAAATACTTTCATTTTATCCAGTAAATTATAATAATTAAAAACAATGTTTTTTTTATACAAACATCTTATATTAGGTATTGTTATATATTACCGACGAAGTAAACTAATTACCGACCGAGTATCGTCGTCTTTGCCGCGATTTATAAAGTAGTGTGATTGTCAATTGTTTGACGGTTGTCTTAAGAATAAGAACGTTTTATAACGTAATTTCAAACCTCGTTAGTTTTATCATTTTAATTAGAATTATTAAAATATTTTAGCATCATCTTTAATTAAGAAAAAATCTATAAGAAATAAAGTGAATCGTATATACTTTATAAACAAATATACATTATTTTATGTGTAAATAGAATTTTACCATCACAATCGATATTTTTTTAATTTAATAATTTTATTATCTTTTTACGCAATTATTTAATAATATTTTATTATAAATATATATCCTTAGTGTTAAGATTTAGGATATTATTAAATTTATACTTTAATTTTCGAAATTTTAGCGAAATTATACCATAATTTCGAGAAACTCTCAAGTGAAACTTTTGTATTGTTTGAAATTTGTATTGTATAATGAATGTTTAAATTAGAGTATTAAATTAACTTTCCAAAATTCTATTTTACTAAAAATTAATCTTAAACTTTGTTTCAATCATTCTTTCCATTGTCGTTAATCAATAGGGGTTATTAAAAATGGATAATGAGAATAAAGAATTTGTCTCGCATGCTACGCTTCTACGCAAAGAAGAGCTTCATTGCGTTGTTTGTGAAATCGATTTTATCGAAGTTCAAAATTCGTTAGCAAAATCGAATAATCATTGGCAAACATTAAAATGTCGGTAAGATTATTATATTATTTAATTAATTATCATTATTATTGTTATTTAAAAAAAGTGAGCGTGGTAAGTAGTGATATGCCTTTTACCGCACGAACATTTTTACTTAAGAATCTCTCAAAACTAAGGATATAATTTCAGTAGAATATCGATAATTGAAGTATAATCGATTAATTATTTTTAATTTAAATAATTCTGATTAATGTAAATTCATTTTTAGATTAATTATTCATATTTTTCCTGAAATTATTGCATCTCCCCAACCTGGTACAGATAATTCAATAGTTATTATCGTTTCAAATGAATTTTTGAAGACTGGAAAATTGCAGGAAACTTTACGAACTTTGAATATGTTGGCAAGTGTTTTATTAAGTAAATATTAATTTTATTTATTTAAATAATAAAGAAATTTTTTTTAATTTAATTTTTATTTTATAGTTTAAAAATCCACAGCCAGTAACAAGAGAAGATTATATTGTTTGTCTTAATTATACAATAGAATGTAAATTAGCACCAAGATGGAACAAAGTTGGACAATATTTTGTTCAAGGAAAACAATTTTATATGTCCATGCAAGAAATGAATGCATTAAAATTGGAAATTTCTATAAACGGTATTTTTATTTATTATCAAATGATTTATGCATATATTTATCAATTATATTTTATATTAAAACAAATTTACAGATGAAAACGTGTCGTTTAAATTTCAACCGAAGAAACTCAAAATACCGTTTATACAATTAGAAGATTTTTATTTGTTACGTTCAATGTTAGTTGATTTTCTAATAGATTGTAACGGTTTTATCAATTTGATAGATTTTTCTCAATCGGTATACGCCTTACCAAGGTATTTTCAAATGTTTTAAAATTTTTATGTAAATTTTGGTAACACAAATTTTTTAACGTAAATTGTTGTTTCAGTATGTGTAAGGGAAAAGTCATATCTGTAACTAAACAGATTCCATCAAGTTGTCCATTCAAAGATTATATACAATTACGTAGACATTGGAAGAATATGGTATAGTTTATTCTTAAATATGATTAATTAAAATTTATGAAACTTTTTATATACAGCTGATATAATTACTTGCAGTATGGTTATCGATTACCCCAAACACCTGAAGGAATTATTTATTACAATATTAAATTTCCATTTTCCAATGTTAATCGTTTCACATATCCAAGTACATGCGTGGCTTTTAAACCTATACAATTATTTCCTTGCAACGAAAGCGAGCATATAATTTCTCAATTTATTGATGATATATGTGAGACAATATCTGATATATGTGGCAAACGGTTACAAATATTGTCGTATCAAAAACCAAATGTACAATTATTTTCGTTAAATGAAGTATGAATAATTTATTTAATACTATGATTAATTTATTTATATAATAGAGTGTACATAGAATTTTCTACTTCTTTTTATAGAATACATCAAGTATTAAGAATAAACTATCACCACCAGAAAACAAAGAAAAGAGTTCAGTTTTTATGGATATGACAAATATTGAGAAAAAACAGAAATTAGAGTTTTCATCAAAATATGAAGATTGCTTATTAACTAATGCAGAAAAACCAATGTGTCAAACATTAAAACCAACTGGATATTTAACTGAAATTGAACAAATTCATACTACGAGTAAACCTGTTGCTGTTAATAATAAAAAAACAATTCTTAATGATCACGAAAAAATAAACGATGGTAAATTAATGGATAATAATTTATTAAATTACAATGAAACACTTGTTACATCTTCCAATTGTTGTGTACAGCATATGAAGAGAAAATGTCCAGCTTTTGATATCAACACAGAATCAATGCATTCCATACAACAAAGTACACATACTAATACAAAATTAAATCAAACATTTGTGAATACCAGGAATAGTATAAAAATGGTTAGTAAAAATCATCTTGTGTATGCTTTGCAATATACATATATTTTATTCTTATTAATATGATCTATAAATAAATATATAATAATCTAATTTACAGAATCAAGAAGTTGACATAGAATTGTTGGCGAAACTTAAACGATTAGATCAATGTAATAGTTCTGTTTTAAGAGATTGGTTACAAAGATATTCAATTCCATATAAAGTCAAAGACAAAAAATCTGATTTAATATCAAAAATAATGAACCACATAAAGAAGAAAGGAACTCACAAGTAGAACTAAGTAACTAACATTTTTTTAAATGCATATAATCACGTACGTATTAAAAGTTTTATATATAAATAATAGTTTGTTTCTTATAGTTTAAATGAATAAAAAATAATAGGTAATTAATTTGATAAAATCAGTATCATTATAAAAATCAATAATATAAAATCATTCTATGACAATATTTCACATTTCAATACTTTGATACATTTTTATAGCTGTTAATATGGCTGTCCTTTCAGCAGCCTCTTTTATTCCTATTTCTTGTAAATCATAGTCATTTAACGTTTGCATAAGATCCATGTCTATCTGTGAAGAAAACAATATTATTTTTGTTTTAAATCATTAAAAAGTAACACGTATCATAAATTATATTTACTTCTTCTTTAAGAAAAATAGACATATGATGACTCAAACCATATCGTTTTAAAAAAATAATCATTTTAGTTTGCTGCGAGTTTAGAATCATTCCTTTTGGAGGAGTTTTGTAACGAGGCGGTGTAGGCGTCTTGTCGCCTGATACATTTTCATCATTAATGTATTCAGGCACATTTGGCGAAGACGTAGGACTATAATCTAGTACTATTTCAAGCGTAGTGTTGTGATCATTTTGAACAGATGTGAGATCCAAGTCCGCTGGTCGTATAGACCGTAATCTTTGAAGGAATTATTACTTATTATCTTTCTTTTTAAAATAATATCACTATTCACCATATAATCCATTACAGTTGTTTACCTTTTAAGCATTACATTTGGTGAGTGCATGGAATCATTTTGAAATTTACAAGATTCCATTATTTTATTGTACTTTATTTCAATTTCTTCTTCATCATTTTCATTAATAGTTGCCAAATTTGTATTACAATTTTGAATAAAATATATATTTGGAGAAGATGGAAAATTTTCTCGAGAAATTTCTAAGAAAGTAGGCGATATTTGATTTGATTCCTCTTCTGATGTATTCATAGATAAAAAATGAAATTTAGATTGTACATTTTGTTTTTTATGAGCACTCTCTGCAGTTTCTGTTAAATTAAATTGATTATTCGTATTAGTATGACTTATATCAATATATATTGGAGGAATATTAGTTAGATTATTTTCATTATTATTGTTTAAATCATATTGTGGTTTTAAAATATATGGTGATATGCATTCACATATAGAAATATCATGACTTGACTCATTTTCTCTTTCAATATCATCTGATTCATCATTCCAATAATCCTCTATTTCATAATAATGTTTTGCTAAATTTGATATTTCTGGTATCTTAGATAGTTTCATCATAATGTGTGTATACTCATCTATAAAATAGTTACAATATATCTTTGTGTGTTTTCAGTTAATATATTACATATACATTGTAAAAGAATAATATATCTTACTAGCTTTGGAAACATCTAAACCCATGTCGACCAAAGAAAAAAACATATCTTTATCATTTTTTAATGCGGCTATACACAGAGGAGTAATATCATCATTCTCTGCATTTTTCAATATAGATGGACAAATTTCATATATCAGTTGCAACATTTCTTTATTTATTGCTGAAGCTATACCAATTACTGACATTCCTGTTAAATATATTGAAACTCTGTATTTATAAATATCATAAATAGTTTATATTTGAAATATACTAATTATTAATTTTTATTAACAATTACGAAGAAAGAAACAAAGCTAGTAGTAATGTACCAAGATAGGTCGAATCGTTAACGTTTGATTTTTGTTCTAAAAGTAATTTAACAGTATCAATATTTCTATTTCTAATAGCTTGCATCAATGGTGTCCAGCCAAAATTATTTTTCCTGTTAATAATTTGATGATTTTCTTTTTTCTTTAAAAGTTCTTTAATAATATTACAACAACCGTATGCTGCGCTAACATGCAATAAATTTTCACCATAATTATTAACAGCATTCAAAGTGTATTCTGAAATGTATATTTCATTGTTGTATTAATTGCAAAATAATATTAAGAAATACAGTATATTAAGTTATTACCTTGCATACGTAATAACTTTATAACTCTTGATTCTATCGCTTTCTTATCTTTTTCTTTATTTTTGTCAATATTATTATTCCAAGTATTCATTATTTTAATTCTTTTAATTAACACTTGTTAAGATTATAAAGGCACAATATTAATTATAACGTTATATTTCTGACAAATAATAGATTACATCAAACTTGTAAATATTTATTCTTGTGACCTTATAAATTATATGGCTACTATAATTAACAAATTAATATTAATATTATAAATATTTTATTTATCGATAAATAAAAAATTTATATAATAGTTCACATATTGTAATATCATCAGTTAGTATCAAGTATCAATTATATATATTTTTGGTTTATTAAAGATTTAATAATTTATAAAATCATATTTGTAATCGTTTGAATATAATTGTAGCGTTTGAATTTTGGCGGTTAATTGAGCAGTACGTCACATCCGTAAAAGTTCATAGGGAACATGCCGGCTAGGTGGTGGCAGCACAGTCTCACGCAGTGTGACGTTCGAAATGATTTCTGCAAGCGTTTGAATTTCACTCGAGGAATCTTATAGACGCTTGTCTATTTAATTAAAAGGCTTATACATTCACAATGTATGATATTTAACAATAAGGTTGTAATATTGTCGGAGTGCATTATTTAAGTCTATGTGTTTGAAATAAGTCGGACTTAGTGATCGCTTTAAATCTATTGTAACTCACGCTCGGTTGACCCTGTTTTTATACTTTCACCAACCTATTTTCATACATTCATAGCAGTAAGTATACCACGACTACTATTCAAATGTCAAAATATGTTATATTACATTTAAATGAATGTTTTCTAATAAAAAAGCTATGCATATTTGTTAGGTTAGCTTAAAGACGACGCTGAGGTCAAATTTGTTGGGGTGGGGGCACTAATTAAGCATATGTGGTAGGGGGAAACGGGCAAGCATCGCTACCGTTAGCGAATGATTTTTCCGGATATTTATCTTACTAGTACATTATTTTCTGTCAAAAAGTGAACATTTGTCATGACTCTTTGCCAAGTCATCTTTAATGTATATAAATTGTCATAAGTTTAATGAACACCAATTTTACAACAATATGGAGATAGTGTACTACTTTTTATCATAAAAGAATTTTTCAAGCTATGGCTTATTTATTGGTCAACATCATAATCCAACGTGCTCACATGTTGTTATTATTTTGAATCGCAGAATGGGGAGTACCAGTCAGTTGTATAGTCTCTCGTGGGGAGAATTCAGCTCATCTTTGGCCTCTGCTGTACAATTACTTAGAGGACATGGAGATTTAGTCGATGTAACATTAGCAGCAGGAGGGCGTAGCTTTCCTGCACACAAGATTGTTCTATCGGCGGCAAGTCCATTTTTGCTGGATTTACTGAAGGTTACATCGACATTTTTATATCAATTATAACATTCGATATTAGGATATTATCTGACGTTTAAGAGTTTTCATTATTTGTAACACAATGCGATGATCTTTTCAATACAGAGTACACCTTGTCAACATCCAGTAGTTATGCTAGCTGGTATAGGCGCAGATGATTTAGAATCATTATTGGAGTTTGTTTATCGAGGTGAAGTCAGCGTCGAACCATCTCAACTACCTTCTCTTCTTCAAGCTGCTCATTGTTTGTGTATTCATGGTCTAACACCACCAACAATATTAACCGAAGTATGCCTCTTTAGATATTTTGTTATTTAGTTTTTAATACTTTTGTAGATACCTATTATACTCTTATTTATATTATAATAATTATATTTATTAGAGTGGCGAAGAAGTACCTGCATCTGCAATACCAGCAGCTAGTGAAGCTTTGTCTCGTGAAACTCTTAGTTCGTATTTCCCTTTAAAAAGGAGAAAAAAGAGAAGAAAGTCTTCTTCATCGTCGGGAAAGTGGCCACGTGGAAGTATGACTAATGATAATGAAAATAGACATTTAAATACGCACGCAGATGACCATGCTACTACTGATTATGATCCAAAGGATATCGATGCTCATCATGGTGATGACACAGGTGAGATAAAATTGATCTCTTGAAAAGAAACAATTGTACAGTTAGTTGTAAATTTATTTATGGAAAAGTTAAGGTTAAAAGAATAAGAGATAAGTCGATACGTTCTTGTATAAAATAGATTAAAATTTTCTAGTTTAATACGTCCTTTTTTATGATGTGGTTTAAGATATATATATACATATATATATTTCTAATAGCAACAGCGAAACAATTAATTTGTGTTTTGTGTCCGATATATTTGTTTTACCTAGCATATTATTTATCTATCTGTGAGATATATGAAATCTCTTTAGGTTATCCTTTTCATTAATACGGACACAAGCACAACCATCGGTTGGGTTGAACTGCAATGAAAATTGGTAACGCCATATGTTATTATATCTAAGATATCAGAAATTTCAGATAAGAAGGTCAGTTCAGCCCTGCATGGTAACATTGTGTTTGTGTCTGTTAGCAGCAAGCGATCAGTTGGGATATACAAATCATCAGGATAGCCATTCACCTCCCTCCAAAGAGGCTAAGCGAGTAGCAACCGAAAATTCTCAAGCAGGAGCTCATCAGGAACATACGTCAGATAGTGAACATCACTTACAGACAATGACGTCGATACAACAATATTCACCACTGCATATACCTCAGTTTCCTGGTTCAATAAACATGGGTTATCCACCGGGTGTACCGCTTTCTCTAACACAAGGATCAGCAGCCGGTACAGCTACGTGTAATATAGCAGGAAGTTTAAAAGTTCGTGGTGCTTCAGATTGTCCTGGGATGTGTCCACTTTGTGGTGCTACGTTACGTCAAGCAAGAAATTTACGCAGGCATCTTTTATCTTCTTGCAAGTGTCGATTTAGTAGTCATCCATTACAAGGTTCATTGTCCGATTCAATGTTGATCGAAGTTAAACCAGAAGTCGAAGTAACAGAATACAGTGATCAATCAGCCAATCATGGAACTGACAGTGGGAATAATAGTGAACGAATTATTTGTAAACCCAGTCCGCTTCCTTCGCCGATATCGCGCGAATCTAATGTTGTATCTCCGCGCAGCAATGCACCGTCGCCGACTATAGCTAGATGAAAATATCGGAAAAAGTTGAAAGACAAGACTACTTAGCACTAGTGGTGTTATTGCTCGAATCGATTTGTTTGTTTCGTTTAAAAGGAACATCATACGTTTAGAGAAATTCTTTTTTAATTTTTTGTCCCACCTAATTAAAAACCAATCAAGTTTTGAATAAGTTTTGAAGTACTTATTTTCAATGTAAGTTTCATATTGTACACAAGTTTTTTTGACGGTAATACGATAATATATCGTACGTTTTTTTTGGATTATATCCAAAAAGAGATTATCATAATATATATATTTTATGTTTATACATATCTATTTTCTTGGATTCACACATTTCTTGTTTTTTCTTTTTCTCTACGATTATATGTTCCTTCGAATACATACATAAATTATGTTATATGCGGCCTGAGATATTTATAATTCATTTCATCTCATGTAGAATCTTCCATGATAGCAAGTAAGAGCAGTATCCTAGGGTTAATGGGAGTAGCAGTCGATTAAATTTGTAGTCATAGTGCAAGGGATGGGGTATATATAGTAAAATGTGCTCCGAATTTTTAACGTATATAAAGATACGTTATTCATTCATCCATCCATTCATTCATTCATTTATTCACTCATTCATTCATTTTTCATAAAACTCGCAATATAAATGCAAATATATTTGTATATATATGTGATTTTTATTATTTTTTATTCATTTGCGTTTAATGTTATTCGATAATTATTTCCTCTCATCGTTTATCTAATGTTAAAACTCATTAATCAAAACATTATTTCGTTTTTTATCAAATAAATATTTTTACCTTAAAAAAAAAATTTTCCGAAAAAAGAAGAAAAGAATTTTTAATGGTATAATAAGAGTCTTGATCCATCAATAGTCATATCATAAATAAAATTTTGAAAATCACGATGATGATGATGATGATAATAATAATAATGAAGAAGAAGAAGAAGAAGAAAAAGAAAGAAAAACAAAAATGTTTTTTTGCACATTCCTTATCGTTTTTATAAATTACAGGAATTGTAAGCAGAAGAGACTATTGAAGGGTCCTAATTAAAGATACAGATTTTCATATACACATGCATACTATATAAATTATTATTATTATATAAATATAAAAATAAGCGATAAGAACATGTCGTATAGTAAAAACAAAAAAAGAAAATTTTTTTCCTCTCTGCGTTTGTAAATAAAAAACATATATGTGATATCATTTTTTAATAACAATATAGATATTACGAAAAGGAGAACGTAGTGTTACGTTATGTATTTTGTAATTATTAAAATAATATTACTGTATTGTGTGCAATGTATTAAATGCACACGGTGCATCCTGGCAATTCGATATTTTTGTTTTGTTTATTGATATTATTAAGTTGTACTGATGACATTATTGATTATTTTAGAATTTAGATAAAGGCTATACATATACATATACATATACATATACATATATGAATTTACAATACAAGATATTTTAATAACAGCAAAACATATTGTGTATTGTGTGTGCTATATTTTTATAAATAATATCCGTAAGGTTATATATTTATATATATATTTTGTTATATATATATATGTATATATATATATATATATAACAAAAAAGTATACCTTATGTAAATACATGCTTTACGTACGCGCTTATATGAATTACTAGGTAATATCATTCGTTTATAGATATATTGTTCTCTATGCAAGATATACTTCTTCATGGAATTCATTTTAGGAGATGGGCAATCGAAAACAAGGAACATGTCAGATCAACCAATATCTTGTCCATTATGTGGTGCGATGTTACGCCAATCAAGGAACTTAAGAAGACATTTGGAATTATTACATTTTGGACTTGGCAATGGTAGCAAAGCTGGCCTACATGTGAGACATCGAAGGAACGACAGAGGCGGAAATTATTTTAGACCATCCTTGCCATGCATTCGTACACCGCACGCACCTAGAACGGACTCTCATCATCCAAGAGCTAACGAACATACGGATTTCCCCACGATGACACCTTTATCTGTTCCTTCGACGGTGAGCTCTGGTACGTCGAGTATATGTAGTACTTAAAATACACACATACACACATGCGTACTTATTTTCCTGGCTGATAAAAAATGAGGGAGAAAGAAAAGCAAAATTGTTACACGACGAGCTTCGACGTTGCCTACTATCAATGAATTGATTTCAAAAGTAAGAATCTATATATATTTTTTTTTTAATTTTTTTTTTTATTTCTTCTTTCTTATTAAACAAAAGAAAAGGAAAATAAGAAAAAAGAAACAAAGATACATATTTTTTGTTTTACCTAAAAAATCTAGGTAATCTCATGGGACCAGGTTCGAGTGTATTAGGATCAGCTGAACAAAACGCACATTCCATATCTACGGCTACTTCCTGCGGCGTATCCATGGGACCAGCCAACAACGGGATTTATACGTCAGATACCAGTGCCAGTATGCTTGGCTGTTTACTACCATCTTTGCCTTCACTGCCTTCTCTTTCATCTCCGCATGATGTTTTTCGACATGGTGAAATGTTACGAGCATATCATGATCCTTCAAGACAACATGCAAGACATTTGCAACGTACCGACGTTACCTAATTTTTACGACCTTATCGTTAAACACGAACATTTACGTTTTTATGTTTATAATTCTATTAGAGATTTTCTTTTTTTCTTTTCTTTTAAATTTTATTTTTCTTCTCTCCCAATTGGGAATGAATTTATTATATTTTATTTTATTTTATTGTATTTTATTTTATTTTATATTATATTATTATTATATTATTTTATATTTTTTATTAATAGAATTTAATAATTTCTTTTTCTTCTTGTTAAACTTGGTGGGAAAAGTGCTTTTTATATATATATAGTAAATTAAGTTTATCATTTGTATTTTATTATTTTTTATTTTATCAAAGTTCTACGAATAATTTAATTAATTAAGCCTCTTTCGTTCTTAATTATGTATCTCATAAGAAATCTATTGTCCTTTTGTTTTCTTTGTATTTTCTTTCTCTTTTCTTTTTTTTATAATAGGAAATAGGATAAACCTCTAAATAATCTGTGCAAATTCAACGAGACGATAGAAAGAAGTGTTAGATTTATGATTTTTCTCGTAATTTACAGTACGTCTGAGGATTTTCCAGTCAAACTGTGTCAGCGTGTTTTATACATGAAAATAAGAAAAGAAAATGTTATATGTTTAAATACATTGTTTAACAATTTTTCTTATTTTTATATATAGAGCAGGCTGAAACCATTTAGCCGAAAAAAACTAAAGACATCCTGTATAATATATATATATATATATATATATATATATATATTATACATCATTTTTTTTATACACATTGTACATAAGTATTGTACAAAGTGATTAAAAAAAAAAAAACAATTAAAAAAATAATAAGGAGTCAGAATTATAAAACACAATCACGAATCGTGATATATGTTACCATTTTATTATATAAACATACGTACACAACAAGGATAAGTAAAATAAAATGCTTCGAAAAACAATATATATATATATAAA